GACCTATATTAAAGGGGAGAAAAACATCGGAGCAGATGCTTTCTCACGCATGCGATTTGCGACCAGTGAGGGTCCATCAATTAACGACGAAGTCTACACGCTAAATACGACACCAGAGTGCGTAATGCATGGTCCAGTGATCCACCAGCACCAAGAGAACGATGACATGATCGCATCGATCAAAGCAGCATGTCTAGCCGGTACCAATAACCCAGACTATCAGCTCCAGGTTCTCTTGGGATGTACCATGGTTGGTTACAAACACCGAGTAATCGTCCCTGACAGTCTTCGTGATGACCTAATCGACTGGAACCACATAAATCTCGGCCATCCAGCAAGTCATCGACAACATAAAACGATGCAAAGTACCTTCTACTGGCCGCACATGGAAACAACGATCGACAAGTTTGTTCGCAAATGCATCAAGTGCAAGCGCTCGAAATTACACGGAGGGAAACAAGCTTACGGACTTGTACCACCACGGATCAATAGAATCGTCAACCCATTCGATATCGTACACGTTGATCTTATCGGACCATACGACGGCGGCTATTATGGGATTACTATGATTGATCAAGCTACTCGGTGGCTGGAAGTTGCTGTACAGCCAAATAAAGAATCGCTGATGACGGCTGAAAGTTTTGATCGTGAGTGGCTTTGCCGCTATCCGCGTCCACGACAAGTTGTCCATGACCAAGGGTTGGAGTTTACAGGAGAAGAATTCCAGGAACTACTGCGCAGTTACGGCCTGAAATCAAAGCCAATCACAGCAAAGAATCCGCAAGCGAATGTGATCTGTGAGCGTGTGCATCTGGAGCTATTGAACGTCATCCGTTGTCACACAGGCGCAGATTGGAAGAAGTTCATTCATTACGCCGCTTTTGCAGTGCGTGCGAGCTATCATAGCATACTCAATGCATCTCCGGGACAACTCATTTTTGGAAAAGACATGATTTCACGCCAACTGCACGAAGCAAATTGGAGTTACCTGTCAAAACGGCGGTTTCGGGCTATCCTAGCTGACAACACACGCGAAAATACCAAACGGCTCGTGCACTTTTACCATCCCGGCGACCACATAATGATTCGAAGACCTAAACAGTTTCGCGCAAAGACTACGGAAGTGGCAGATGGGCCCTACCCCATTAGCATTGTGCAGGAAAATGGAACCGTCACTATTGACAAGGGCGCGACGACGCAACGGCTATCAATTCGTCGCATCTTCCCGTGCTAGTGTGATTGCTTCATGGGGGGAGTATGACATAACTGCCTCCTACACTGGTTAATGATGGATGGATCCTACTCCACGACCAAGCTACGACTAAGCGAAGAACAATCGGATGGATTGATTGATGGATGGTTGATGGATAGAAGGAATTAGATGAAGCATTCAGGTAGGCACGGTAGGCTAACATGGTATTGAATACACTCTCAATTTTACCTTTGACTCCGCAAGACCCTCTCAAGCAAGACTCGCGGACCGATCACCCCTCTGCAAGCCACGGGTGTGCCAACACGCTTTGGCTAAGGCGACCTTGCCGAGACGCAAACGCTTCTTGTGGGTGGTACGCCACGTTGGCTGCAATCGATCGTCTGGATGCACTGGATCATATGGCTGCCATCGCGGCCGCAGAAGGCCCACGCGTCGTGATGACCGACTTTGCTTTTTTGACCAACCGGTCGACCCTTCGGCTTTGCGGGAAGAGGATCGACAATGGTTCGCATGCTACCCAGCGCTGCGGTCAGTAACTCGCGTATGTGCCATTGCTTGTATGCTGAGCGACCACTTCGAGCACGCCCTTTCCGTCGTCTGAAGATGTACTTGTAAGGTGGGAAGGTGGCATGCGGGCAGTAAGCAGACAGCTGATCGCTTTTCTGAGCTGGAAATGTGCTTCGAGTACCAATGTCTACTGATCGGATGAGTACCAAAGTCTATGATTGTAGTAAGTTCTCGTGACTCTGTTTCACTCAGATGCGCCACACAGTGCACACATGGCAGTCCCATCGTTTCCTGGAAGGGGTGTGTGCGTGTGCCGAACAAGATGACGAGGTGGTCTCGGAGGCAGCTCCGTCCCTTAGATAATTGCGCTGCTTCACAAGGGACCACCAACACGTCAATACGAAGGATCAGCATCATCAGCGACGTGGCGAGACGTGCTCAGAGTATCACAATGATTGTGAGTGTTGCGCTGAACAGCACAACGAGTGTAAATGTTGCTCTGAACGCGTCCCGTCACGCCGCTGTCATTCTACTCGACACAGCCATTTCCATAGCTGATTGGCGTGATGTACATGTAGGAATGAACTGACTGTGTGTAATGCGTTTATTCAATTTAGAGTGGTGGGTCGTCCGTCCTATGTGTTGTGTGTGTGTGTTTGTGTGTGGAAATAGCCAACACGCGTGGTTCGAAGAGCGAGCGCACCCCGGAAGCGTACTTGGGGAATGGCAATGTCGACCAGGTACTTCTGTTGGGGTGGGTGTGGGTGTGGTAATAATCGCCTTTTGCTTGATAAGAAACACGTGGAAGTGACGCGACGCGACGCCATCTGCCCACTATGCTTTTGTGGCAAGCGGTATCACGCGGTGTCATTCCTTTCACCCGGCGTCTACGATTCGATAAATAGCTGGAGCAAGCATCTTGGGTACAATGAGCACTACAGGGCACATCTGCAACAAGCCGTTTCCATCGTTGGACGGGTGGGGGTTGTGTATTGATTGCTAGCGGTAGTTTCTGTTGAACGGGAGCAATTCGTATCATGCGACACACAAGTAACGAAATGCAATCAACAAACGAGAACTACAAAAAACAACGACCTCTTTATTTTCAAACTTAACGGAAATGATCGTTCAGTCTCCGATGTCGTAGTGGGCTCGCGCGGTGTCGACAGGTAGTCGAGAAGCTCATGTGGTAGTCACGTGAAAAGGGGCGCTTTTCGGGCGATGGCGTGATAACAGGTCTGATCAACGCCCTAATGGGAATGTCCTGAGCACATTCGCTGACAGCAGATGTCGAAAGCAGTCATATCCGGCAACAGGGACTTGCAGCCTGTTTCCGCTTGCGGGGGTACAATCATTCCAGGGCAAAAACGATTCCCCTGGCATGATTGACACAGCACAAGGCCAGAAATGGAGATGACGGCAGCGATGACGATGAAAAAGATCGACTTGACGTTCATGTTGTCTTGAGCTGTGGCTTGGCGTACTGCGCTAGGTATGGCAAATAGCGGAATGACAGTTGCGGAGGTAATGCACGAGAGCCAAGAGCGCCCTACGTGTGGTACAGGTCCCGTCACATGTAAGGGATCACTATACGAAGCATACAAAAGAAGAGAGAAGCACCATCGCATGAACACATTGGTCGAATCGCGTTTACGAGTGTAGTCCGTTGCGATCAGTAGGCTGTCCCGGTGTGGCTTCGAGCCAGGTACAATCAGCTTTTGCTACGACTTCTATACAAAACATGCAACGCATGAGAGAAGCACCGTCGCGTGACCACATGTTGTAAAATCGTGCATGCAAGACAAAGGTTTGGTGGGTTGCGATCGGTTGGCTATCCAAGCGTGGATTCGATTCAGGCTCGTTTATGGCAGTGCTCAAAATTTATAAAGTACCGCACGCTCGGCGGAGATCGAGCGACACGATGGGGAGACGTCGGTACCAATTCTACTACCTTCACGTAAACTACACTCTACTATTCTACGCTAATATTCGAATACGATCGAGCAAGCAGATGAGTGCTCGGTGGGCTGCAATCCACTGGCTCTACGAGTCGACATACGAGCCGAATTCGCTCAACCGACTATCCCGACTACATCTGACTACTCAGCAGTTAGTCACGGTCTTTTGTACCACTTTAATGAGTGGATTCCACCTACGACACGACGTACATACGATTTGACGCTTGCCTGGAGTATCCTTTTGCTTTTATGTACGCGGCTCCAATGTGACCCGATGCACTGGTACAGAGCAGCATCAGCTGTGTGATGTGTCCGTGGCGATCCGTCGTCTGGTTCATACTATACCGTATGGCACGTTGTGCGGCTCGAAAGTTCCTGACGCGCCAAAACGTAAAGGCGTCTGTTTTTGCGCACGTGGTTTCGTGTTGACAGTCCGTTATCCAGCGTACGATAATCGATCACAGCGAATCCAAGCAAACAACTGATGAAAGTGATGTCGGGCGAGTATCCTACACGCAATTATGATTCCATCGCACTTTCCACATACGCCCGCATGGCACTCATGGAGCACCTGTTGCGTGCACAATGCGCTTCATGAGCCTGCTGACACAGCACTTGATACGGCATCGCCAGGTTGAGAATGCGGCTCACCAAACGGCTTGGCTGAGCGATGTTACGTGGCAATACGCCATAGCACGAGCGCACTCGCGTTCAAATGACACTTGCGCGAGTCTACACGCTTTGCAAAAGTCAAAGAACATTGCATTCTTTGCAAGAAGAATGAACAAACAAGCAAAACATGCGCTTCAGCGATCCTCATGCAATGCTCTGATGTCCCATCCGCAGTTCGTTGGATGTTTTTGTACCGTGACAGTCGGGAACGACAAATTGCCTTGTGTGGTATCTTTAGTTGCTTAGTAGGCCACTGAAATGACATGTTGGATATCTGGATCCTGCGAGACGGAACGTTTGTTGCAACGAGTCTATCATGACAACGTCGATTTTTCTACCTCTAGGCGGACAGCAGGGCGTGGCAAAGAATATAGAATAAGAGATATCATAAGTGCTGCTTAAGAGTGCGTCACTGCACCAGTACGGCTCATACAGAATAAGAAGACGCATTGATCCGCCGCATAACAGACCATCATTGCGCTTAGCACGACCCAACCCGTCAATCATGTTTGCCTTTTACTGTACGAGCCCGATAGCTAACGAACTTATGTGTACTGCTTGGTTTGGATACGTACGGGTGATGCCCTCGTCTGAAGTAGGGTGGAGCGGCTACAGCGAAGCAATTGCGCCTGTGCTACCTATCAGACACCTTACGTAGACGATGACGATGCCGCACGCCGTCGCTCGTAATCAGGATCGTCTGTCGGTAGCTCGAATCGACAAAGTGGACACGAGTTGTGTTGCTTCAGCCATGGCACGATGCAGTCGGGGTGGAACGAGTGCTTGCACGGTAGACAATGAACTTCGTCGTTGACTGCGAATAAATCCTTGCAAACAGGACATTCGGCGCTCCCGTCCACTTCAGTCTGAGTCACTTTCACCTTTGGCAGCATTTCCACAATTTCCTTAGCAGCAGGCGGAGCTCCATGCTGTCAGAGCCGCCAGCACGTCAGCTATGTATTCAACATGTCTTTGAATCAGCATTGCACCAATGAGTCACTTACCCGATTGGGGTCGTGTTGCATAAGCTGATTGATCACGTTTGCCATATTGCCAAACGCGTAGTCACCCGAGTTGCCAGCCAGCATCGGGAACATGCCACCCAGCGTGTCCAGCACCCCAAATGTATCTCCTGCCCCACCTTCTCCAGACTCACTGACGTAAAACTCGACGGGATTCCCCGTACTACTCATGAAGCGTGTAGCACGTCCATTACCAGTAGCATCCGACAAAAACTGGAACAAACTTCCGCGCGCATCAAAAGATAGCAGCATGAGTTTCCACTCGGTGCGGTATGCGATACACCTGACAGAGAAAAGATCAACTCACGTAGGCAAAGGCGAGTCACCATCTTGTCCGTCCGAAGCTGGGAACCGTACTGCTCGGCCGGTAGGGCTAACAACAGCACGTTATACGTTGAGAACGTACTAAATGAAGCACGTGACACCAAGTAGCAACCAAATGGAATAGAAGTTGGTACATACCGCGGCAGGGGGCGAGTGTCGTCGGGTTCGTTGTGAGTCTCAGTCTGGACGCCGACCCCATCTCCCGAAGCTCCACTTGTCTGCGCCTGCGATTCTTCTGTATGTTCCACTTGGAAATCCTGCGGCGGATCATCCTGATTCAGCGAATCACAGCAAAAAACAACAGCAAAAAATAACAACAGCAGTCACATGGAAAAAGAACAGTCCAATTATCACATCAATTCGTAGCAATATGTATATAAGTGCAGAGGCACGAAATTTGCCCACAAGTCGGCGAGCAAACCAGACAAACCTCTTCGATCTCCTCCACAAAGTTGCCGCCACACTGTACACAGCAGACCTCTTCACTCGGCTCGTCGACGCGCGTCTCCACACCGGCGCCGCACTCGTGGCACCAGAAGCGCGGCGGTTCGTGCTCGCCCGGCGACAGCGTCATGCGCACTGTCGACTGACTTGATAAGACCGGTGGGATGACGCAATCTTAATAGTTGCGAAACGGGTACGCTAAAATAACGTGCGCATGTCAGCTAATCGACTCAGGCAGGATACGAGGCCGTTTGGCGCGAGAAGAGAGTCAGTATACCATCACACTGGTGTCTGTTTCGCTTTGCAAGCGTATCCGGGAAAAGCTGTGCTAGCAGTACGGGAAGCTGCATAGGAAAGACCGTTCTGCGAATTCTCCCCGCCACCGGTTAACTGCGTTTTCTATGCTTTTCAGAGAGACGAGTCTGCCTCTCTCCTAAGTGGCCGAGTTGATGTGGCGTACGCAAACCTTTTGGTGACATTAGGGCCTCGCACCACGTGCCGAGTCTATCGGTCAGTCTTCGTGGTATCACGCACTGTGTGTTAACCAGGTCCTGGCCAGTCGACTCAGAGAGACAGTATAGACGTGACGTGGGACGACGATGTTCCACGTCCGACTGAACAACGCAACGTCCATTTGACTCGACTGCTTGTTTACAATCAGTCGTCAAGTCGTCGCGTTTCGCCTTATCAGATGCCTGTCAAGCTGCGATCCCTTAGCTGTCCTTCGTACATGTAGTCAATCACTGCCCTTCGTCGTTGTGCTGACATGCAGTAGCGTAATGTGTGTGGGTCTGGTCGGTCTTTGGTATTAAGCGATGCGGCTGTGAAGGCGTGTGGTGCGTATCGTACATGCGTCTTGTTCCTTCGCGTTTCGATCGCACACGCGTCCCGGGCGTTCACTTCAACATGCTATTCAGCTCGAACGTCTGTTTCTGCGCTTCAACTTGACAGCTACGATGGCAGTTCGACCTTGTAACTAACGGCAAGGCAGTTCTTGTGCCACCACGTCCGCTTTCGCCTTAGCTTGAACCAGGTGGAAAAGGAGTACTGAAGGTGTGTCCCCCGCGCCTTCACGCAGACTCTTCTTGTGTGTAGACGCAAAGTCCGTCGCTTGTGCGTTCGATCGGCTTGTGCCACCCTCCTGCGTGTCCGACGAATACCTTTCTGCGATCATTTGACTGCCTTAATGGAAAGAACTGCAAGGTGGTTGTGCCAAACGGAGCGTGTTTCAAGTACTCCATTCAAAGCAGCAATGCGGCTGACGACATCGCTAGCTGCTTGTCAGCTTTCTTCTACTTCCATTCGCATTCGAACAAAGACTGTTGTGCTCGCCAACGACAACATCAAGGGTCAGTGCCATGTTCATCCTTGGCCGTGGTGGCCCACGTAGCACGCCCATCATCCTTTTGTGTACTCGCTTCAGAGTGGAAGCGTACGACCTTCCGATTACCACGCGCGTGTTTGCACCGATTCCAATGACTGCAGTCATAAACGCTCTTTACTCTGACGGTGCTGTCGTTCAGCCGTTGCGGCTCGATGACGTGTCGATGACGTGTCGATCATACAGTTGCTAATTCTTCGCGAAGAGCTTTCTACCGCTAGTCAAGAGCGATGGGAAAAGATCACTAGGAAGCAAATCGTTCGGTTCCACTGCTGGATCCAATAGCTCTTTGCACTCGTCAAGAGACACAACATCAGCGTAACCTGAGCTTGTGATGCAAGTCGATTTAGTCTTCGCCGCGTTGCATTGTCCATCTCGCTAGCTCACATCCTCCTTAGAGTGCATAAGGAAAGCGAGTGCTATCGGCAAATCTCCAAGTACGATTGCGTCCTTGCGTCGCGCAAGACCTCGGAAGCGATGTGTTCCCACTGCTTTTGTAACTGTAACTTTGGATAGCGAAACGGGTGCACGAACGTCTCTTGGCCTTCAGGTTTACAGCCCATTGTCCCCGACACTGTCGGTGAAGATCGTACCATCTTGTGACCAAGTGCTGCACTGATATTGACATGTGTTTGAGTAGTGAGGGTACTACCAGAAGCTCCACTGTCAAGCAACGCTCAAAATACAGCTTCTCTCCATGGACACGCACATCAACGCGAAAAAGCTTCTCTGCTTCTTTGCACTCGGCTGGAATAGCCCAATAACTTGCATTCTCATTACTACTTGAGGTGTGGGCCTCAAAGATGCGACGTGTCTTCTTCTTTTGCCTTTCTGCCTGACTCGGTTGTTGCGGTCCGTGGGCTACTGTTTGCATGCAGCTGTTTCTTGCTTCAACGCGGGCTTGGACAGATGATGTGTGGGGACAGGTCGAGCTGAGTTGACAGGTGGTAGACCGTTCACGATTTCTCGCGGGGTAAAAGCTGCACCACTACAACAAGAGAGGATACAACATGCTTCATGCGGTGTATCTAGTATCAGCCGACGCGATGTTAAAATGTATGAGTGAGTTCTTCGCACAGCGCGTACTTGTCGGCTTCGAAAATGTGGTACGGATGGTATCGTCTCGTTACCCGAGCGTCGAGAGCGCTCGCTGCGCGAAGAAAACGACATCGGTGTCGCTGTCCTGCAACAGCACTGCCAGGCACGGGGCTATAGTACTCGTGCGAGCTTCCGCGTCTACTTTGCTACCGAGCACCTCCAATGTTTTTGCGACGTTAAAGCGAATGTTTGGGACCGGATCCTACAGCAACGACATCATCATCAACATCATCAACAACAACAACAACAACAACAGTAAGCAAACCACTCCTGCTAACAGTGTATCACAAATGGTGTCCTACCTGGGCCAGCTCTAAAGCCAGAGGAACGAGGAGCGTCTGGATCAAGTCGGGGGTCATGGCTTCGCAAAGCACGTTCACAGCGTGCAAAGATGTCAGGCGATGCAAGAAGTTGGCATTCGAGTGCATGGCCAGAATCCGCGGAACCACACTCGCTTGTGCCCATTCCACACCAAAGTGCTCTGTCAAGTTCTTCAGGTTGACCGTTGCTGCCTCCCGAATCGAGAACACGTTGTCAACCAACCACGTCATGCACAACTCGGCCAGCTGCTCTTCGAAGTAGTCACGGCCTAACTGGACAGCGAGCAGCGGAATATATTCGATAATCGCGAGGCGAATACGCCACTGGCGATCTTCCGCAAGATGCACGATGGCAGGCAGAAGCGACTGCGACAACAACTCAATGCCAACCACCTGCCCACAAATACACGTGAGCAAACCACACAACACTTGACGTTGCATGCAGAGAGTACGTACCGAGTTGCCCTCTTCCAAGTTCGATATGACATTCAACCGCACTTCCGAATTTTGATCATTGAGCAGCTGTAGTTAACAAAACGAGTCAGCCCTACGACATGTCCCAGACAGATGGGACCCATCAAACACCACGTACAAGCAAAAAGAGAGGGAGCAAGTGCTCAATCGTAAGATCTCGGCCCAAGAAAGGAGCGACCTTCATCACCACAGAGGCGAGAGCTGAGCGCACGTGATCCGACATGTCACGCGCCAGACGCTGGAAGCACGGCACAATCTTTTCCACAATACGCTGAGGCTGCAGAAGCCTAGCAACACCGAGGATCTTCGACGTGGCCGCGGTGCGCACCTCCGCTTCATTGTCCTCGAGCAATGAGACGAATGCGTCACAAAATGTCGAGTTGATGGTCTCGGCGGTCAATGCATCACAAATCTCGGGAAATCGATTGGCGACAGACCACCGTACACGCCACGAGGCATCACGCGCTGTCTCAAAGATGGTCGGCAACACTTGCGTCGAAAGTACGTCGGACGGAACCAAGCGTGCCAGTGCCACAGCATTGTCGATTGCGTGTATCCGCACAGAGTCCTGGCGGTCCGTCGCCAGCGCTAAGAAGAATGGCAGCATTTCCGAGCTGGCGCTATGGCTGTCCATGACAGAGGCAAAGCCGCCAAGGGCCGCGGACGCAGCCTTGCGCACCATCGGTGTATCATCCCGACAGAGCTGGCCGAACATTCCGCGCATCTCCGCTTGCATGTCAGTCGAAAGACGTGCGTAGCCAACCTGGAAGAGGCTGCACGAGGCAATGCGTGACGTGAACCAGTCACGGGTGACCAGCCGCCGCAGTACCGGTATGAAATGCTCCGTCACGTGCTCTGCCTCCATCGCTTCCACAACTGTGCAGATCGAGCGCACTGCCATATTGCGAACAGAGGCTTCGTCGACCGTAGCGAGTGACTCTAGGGGCTTCAGCAGCAAGTAAGCATAAGCCGGACCTCCCACGACATCCACGAACCCTCCCAGCTCTTCGGCCATCACGAGCAATACTTCGTCCTCATCATCCAGCGAGTCTATGAGTTGCCAGAGAGAGAACAACAAGAGACGGTCACGAAACCCTCGTACTGCTTCAGTACACTTTGCATATACAAAGTGATCTGTCATCGCACCGTTCATAAATGGCAGCAGCTCGTTCTGTGTACGTTCATGTCCCAATGCATCAGCTGACAATGTGGCGCACGTACAAAAAAACACGAATACAGAAAGTAAGTGTGAGTACAAAACTCTTTCGGGTCTGATACAAGTAGGGGGCGGGCGGAGACGGGCACGAGGGACGTACCAATGATGCGGATCTGGCGGATCGAGTTCAGACGCAACTGAACGTCTTCGTGCTTGAGCTCATCCACGAGGATCGCAATTGGGTACAGACTATTATCTTCTGTACAGATTGCCACATACATATATTGCAATATAATTATCACACGTTAGAGGTCCAACTATCACACTCTCAGACATAACCAGCACACGCTCTGCTTCTGCATTACCAGTTACAGCCGCCGCCATCGAAATCGCTCTGACACGTGGAACAACGAATTAGCACACAACTGCTGCGCAATGACGAGAGCAGTAGGCGGTACGCAAGTCAGCGTCACACCCAATCAGACGGAAGGCAGCGACAGTGGAAGGGAAGACGTACGGCCTTCGGCTTTTCGAGGATGCTCGGGGCAGTAGGGATCGCGGATAGCGGGGCTTGGCGTATTGGCCAATCGGAGGTCGACGATGATGTGGCGGAGCTCAGCCATTGGTTCCCCTCAAAATAGCGGTAGACGACGATACGAGTCGCTATCGGTTCTGATCCGCAGCGGATAAAGCGAAGCCGCGTCGTTGTTGGCGCTAATCGGAATAGCTTTGAGAAATTGCGATACCGTAACGTTACCGGAATGTGGCTTGGCGTCCACAGCAGATCAAGAGACAGTCGATGTACGAACAGATTCCTGACAACTTCAATCCAAATACTTCCCGACGTGTGCAGACTGCTGACTTTTCGGAAAAGAGGCACAAGACGATGTCGAGAATCAAGTAGACGTGGGTGGATCCGTGTCTTTCTCTCTCTTGCAACGCTTCATCTTGTGCAAGAGCTGAATGGTTTATGGATAGATGGGGACCGTGTCACCTGACTGACACTAGAAGTCGTTCTTCGAACTTGTCATGTGTATCATTTGACAAAGAAATGGACTGCAACACATGCAGTGCCAATGATGTTCAGTGTATAGCACGTGTTGTCAAACGTAGATCGGTTGGTTCATCTTTGTGCACTTGTTTGCTGCTCTTTAGCTGGCAATTGTGCAGCGCGTCATCTACTCACGGTCAGTTTTGGCATGTTTTACCGAATTATATGTGAAGGCTACTCGCTGGTGCAATACTCAGCGTGAACATACTGCTTCGCACCATGCGAATAGCACTGATCGGCCAGTGACATCGGTACGTGTACTCGCACTGTTTTCATGATCAAACATACTTTATTTACATGGCAGTCATGACGCTACTGCATTAGCAGCAGCTGTAGTCCCAATTCGGTCCGGGCACTTTGTTGTATCTATGAACATCAGCTACGTGCTGTATAATTGACAAGGACAAACGAGCCGTCATCTAGTACTTGCGTTGCGTAGTGCGGTCTTCGAGATTGCTCTCGAGTCCAGCGGCTTTTGCACGCTCTGATGACCTTCGTGGCTTTTCCAGCTGTAAATTCTCAATAAGACCCGATGTGATGCCCTGTGAGACCATGCGGATACTGCAGTAGATGACACTGGCCCACTCCATTCGTTCTTCCTCCGTGCGAGTCTCCAACACCAGCTTGTCTGAGGGTGACCGCGCAACGACAATGCACATCTCGCGTCCTGGCATCTGTACCAGGTTCAAATAGCAGCCGTACAGCGAGAAGGACTTGCGGTGCTTGAGCTCAGCCGGAGCCTTCTTGCCTTCATTCTGTGACAACACTTGCTTGTAGTAGCGAATCGCGCCGTTCGCAACAACGACCACACGCTTCTTCCAGTTCTCAAAGCCTGAGCGGGACTTCTTGATCAGCACGCCACGCTTACACGGCGGCAGGAGGAACTCCAGCTGAAGCGGGAACGAGGACGCACGCAGACTCTTGCGTGCTTCTGTGTACGTCTTGCGGAGGATACTGCGACCTTCGATCGAAACGAGCTGGCTACCGACAGCAACAGCGCAATCGTTCGGACTGTACGCCACAATGAGAGCTTCTGTGCGTCTCTGCATCTCAATATTGAGATCTTCGGGCTTTCGGAAGAGCACACTGATCTTGCCGAGAGGGATCTCATCTGCGCGCTTGAGCACGAGAGACAAGCCGGCCACAGTACCCTTCCTACCTGCCATCCTGCTTAGCGCTGTCTGTGCTTCTTGCAGCGCTTCAATCCACAAATGCATCGAGTTTTCGTCCCGTGCGTTCAAGTGCATCTCGAATTTGCCGTCTTTGGATGTCAGCACAAAGTAGTTCTTCCGTCCATCAGGGCACTGCGCCATACCAGGACTAACGATCGTGTCTTTTAGCGGCACGGACCCCTTGAGCACGTTCTGATTCTCCGTGTAATACCGCAGCTCGCCCTTTTCGATCCGAAAGAAGCGATTTCTCCAGCTCTTGTTCACGTGGCCCCTCTTGAGCAAAAAGCCTTCCATGTGAATATGCGACGTCGGATCGTCGCAGCGCTTCCACTCGTGGTTCATCTTTGTGTCGTGCACGTAAAACGTGACAGTCTTGTTGAGCGGATCCCACGCATCGGTAGGAACGGCGCCTGCAGCATGAAGTCGGGCAATCCACTTGCTCATCATCACCTTTGACGGTGCCGAGATCATGAGGTGACGCTGCGACGTTGCAATGAGAAAGACAAACGCCTTGTCCATGGCATTGGTTTGCACCGACACGTCGGCATTGCTCCCGCATCGCACGTCGATCGACCCTTTTAGTTTCTTGAGACTCTCGTCCGTATAATACGACAGCACGCCGTCATTCCGCAGCACAAAGAACCGCCACTTCCACGTCTTGAACTGCTGGCCGCACTTTTCCAGCCAGCCGTGCATCACGACGCCCATCTCGTCGTCCTGCGGCTGCAGCGCCACGTCGGAATTGTACAGGGCGCGCTTGCCACGCGCTTGCTGGTCCGACGATGCAGCCATCGTCCGTGTCGACGAGCCAGTGCCACTGACTGCGTCAGGGGCACTAATCTCAAGCTCCACCCCTCGGGGCACCACGCGCGTCGTCCCCACGTCGGTCTTTGCGGCTTGACTCAAGACGGTCTTCCACGAGAACCGACGCGTGTCGCTCTGGTCCCTCTTTTCGAGGCCCTCTCGCGCCCTCGACCAAAGACCAATAGGCACTGCAGCAGCCACAACGTTTGCCAGAACGAACCCGTCGTCGTCGTCGTCGTCGTCGTCGTCGTCTGCTCCAATGGACACGTCCGAGTCGTCTTCCGCCTCGAGCAGCTGCGCGACAGGCGGAGACTGCAGCGCCGTGTGCATCGACCACATCGAGTCGGTCTCTGGACAGTGTCGTCCGTCCATGGACGTGGGGCAGACGCGCTGCGTGCGGTCCCACGCGTCCGTCGGGCGCGCGCGACGCACGACACTGCAGCGCGTCGGGACGTGTTGGGTACGCCCGCGCCGCTTCTCGGGTTGGGCCTCCCACGCTGTGTGGCGACGGGGCGTCTCTTGTTGCAGTCGCTGTCGCCGCTGCTGCTGCTGTTGTTGTTGTTGTTGTTGCTGGGGGTGGGACTGCGACGGGGCGAACGCGTGTGCCTCGACGACGTCGTCCGCGTCGTCGTCGTCTTTGCCGTGGGGTCCAATCGCTTGCGACGTCGAGAGACTGAGCCACTTTTTCAAACCCATTGCGTCCGACTGCGATCGAATCGGATTGGGCAGTGCGTGGGCAGTGCAATTGTGAGCCGAGTGTCGAGTCGGCCGTGGCAAAGAGAGAAAAGAGAGAGAGAGAGAGAGAGAGAGAGAGAGAGAGAGAGAGAGAGAGAGAGAGAGAGAGAGAGAGAGAGAAGATGCGGACTCTTCTTTTTTGTTGTTGTTGGTGGTGGTGTTGCTGCAAATCCAACGACAGAGAGCGTGAAGACGTCGACGATTGGCGCGGGTGAGGGGGGGGGGGTGACGTCTAACTGGCTGACGGACTGACGGACGGATGACTGGTTGGTTTGTGGCGCTGAGGAGGAGTGACGTGCTGCGTTGCTAAAACTTTGGCACTTGCGGGATGTGGTACGGACGAAAAGGGCTTTTCAGCACAAAAGTTTGCGCGACACATACGTTCGGAGTCAAAAGAGTGGTATGGAAAACCCCCTGTCGTGGGCACGTACGTGTAGGTGGAAGGAATGACCCGATCGAGCGATCGAGCGACCGACCAATCGATCAATCGGTCGCGTTCGTCGCGTCGCGTCTGGAGAGTGTCGACAAAAAGTAGCTCCGTGACTTGAGACGACGCTGGCGGCAGAGGACTTCAAGTTGCAGCATGTGCTGACCCCGAGTGAGAAGTCCAGAGCCTGGCGGGGGTGACAATGCAGCACACCCACGTCCTGTTTCTTGCCAGCTGCAGATCAAGTCTTCAGGCTGTCACGTGGTGCAAAGACGATGCTGCTGCTGCTGCTGGAAACGATCGATGGGGGGGCAGCGGTCGTTTTCTCGTCCATCGTCCGTTCGAACGAGAGCCGAGCAATGATACGCGATCCAGCTCGGCCGCGTCCCGTGGTGAACAAGAGAGCACTGGTACACGAATGCAGTGGCTGGCTGGACCTCGTTACTGGAACAGCTCGGCCGGGAACAGCTTGGGCTCCAGCTGCTCGTCCACGAGGAACTCGAGCGGGAAGTACACAATGTGGCCCTGCACATTGCTCAGCTCGTGCTTCTTCTCGGCAATGTGCGCACTCTCCTTCATGTTGACGTTCATCGCGCCACTGAACGCCGACTTGCTCCCTTTCGTTCGCCTCGCCCTTGCACTGTCGTGAGGCGACATGGCCAAGGCGCTCATCGAGGAGGACGCACGGCTGCTTTCACCGTTGTTGCTGAACGCACCAGCACTGCTTTCTAGCGCGGCGGCAACGGCCTCGTCTGCACCACGACCAGAAGTATCGAGTCCTTGTGCCGACTGAATGTGCGAATCAATTTGCGCAAACGTCGTGACGCTGTCGGATGGAAGGCAGCCGAACACCGAGTCGTAGATCTGGTGGTTGTTCATTGCTTGCTCTTGCATGGAAAACCACGCATCCTTCTCCACCGGGTCTCGGTACTTGTCATACAACGGCGTGCCGGGCTCAATGCCAAAGTGCTCCTCAAACAGCTTCATACGAAACGAGTGCCCAAACTTGCCCACATTGTACGCCCCACCGGCAAGTGCGACCCCCTTCTCCAGCTCATGGTCTTCCACGAGCACGGCAATCTCAGAGTCACGGTCACCGCACATGCTGCGCTCATTGATGTTCGCAGACCCGATGATGCAGGAACGGTCGTCAACGATCATCACCTTGCTGTGGATGTAAACCTCCTCGGTCTGGGCTTGAGCACCTTCGCGGTTGCTGTGGTTGCGAAGCCCATAGAACGCAATGTACTTGAACGGGTCGTCATCCTCCAGGTCTTGGTACAAACGCTGATACATCGAGTGCTCGCCACGACAGATGGAGCGATATTGCCAGTACATCACACCTCGCAGACTACTCGCGTCCTTGTCATCTGGCTTGCCGGGGAAAGCTGGCAACAACGGCATCACTACCATCACCCGAAACTTCTCGTTGTTGTCTGACGCGCGAATGATTCGCTCCACCAGAGCATTTGCAATGCGGTTCGAGCACCCATGATCTCCTTCAAGCCCTGACACAAAAAACTGGTTCTCAATGTAGACAAAGTGCTTTGACGAGCCGATGAGACGAATGTACGCGTCTTGGATACTGCGCTCCGTGGCCACACCTCCTGACCATAGCGACAAGCTGCGCAAGATCTGCGTATTGACACGATAGCCTCGAGCATCCACTTTCTGCTGGTGTCTCTCAAACGCTTCATCACAATCGTCTTCGTCAGGCAGATCGAGAATCACGCCTGCTTTGTCGTCGTGTGCAGGCGGCATATCGTCCGACATATGCTGACTACTCAGCATGCGTGCCATCCGTCGATCGCTATTGAAGCCGCGACTCCCGTTCGCACAAGCATTCGACAACCCGCGCATTGCACGGACGGCGCGCACAGCCTTCTGGAACCGCTTCGTCATTTTCTTTGGGTTGCGCTTGTCAACATTCACCACCGGGTAGTCTTTCATTGGCACGAGGTGGTGCAGCTTGCGCGATTTCTTGCGCGTGGACACAGAATAGTTCCAGCGCTGGACAAAGTGACGGGCCACATCCCGAGCTGGTTGACCCTCCAGACGACAGTGGCAGTCGTGCCACGGCATACGGGGCACAGTATTCCGATCGATCATATCCTCTTCAGGACGGTCAACTTCAATGAAGTCCTTGACACGCGGGTTCGAGTAGTCTTTGCCCACAAAATTCGTTGGCTTCCCGGGCTCGTCAAACAATTCGTGATCGTGGGTATCCCACCGACCAAAGCACAGATCCAAGCCACCCACGAAACTCACGCGCTGATCGACACTCACGATCTTCTCGTGATGCGACCACAAGCCCAGTTGCTTCATCAAGAAATCCGGGTCGCGCAGCACGTGGACGTTCTTGTGCAACTTTTCCAGCACCTGCTTTGAGTACATGCTGTTCAGCGTCAGCGCCATCGCAATCTCCTTGTACATCAGCACGTACACCCGTACGCCCTCTTCTGCTTTCTTTTGCAGCACAAGGTCCAGTCTCGACTCGGGGTATTGCTCGGCAGGACGCAGCAAATGGATCGTTGGACAAACCCACCAGCCAGCGATGAAGATCTCCTTCTTGGCCGACTGAAGAGCGTGGAACATGGCTTCATAGGCGCCACAGCCGTCCACGTACCACTGGGCGAACGACGTCACGTGTGCCGGGTTGCGTGGAATAGCAAACGATCCATCGCGGTGTGACTGCGACCAGTTGGAGGCATCTGCCACCCGTCGAATGTCGTTCGCCCACTTCTTGAGCACCTGCTTCGTTTTTGCTTCCATCTGAAGTACGTACGTTTCGTTCGAGACGAGCATTGTCGTGGTAGAGCCCGTGGTGGCAAGACCGCGCTCGATGTTGAACTTCTTGTCAAACAAAAAGGCTTTGTGCGCGTGCGTGTCTTCGATCGAGTCGTAAATGACGATGCTCGACGTCTTCAGCGAGACCCAGCACAAGCTCTTGGCACGAAGATTCACGCGCTTGACCACGCACATGCAATTGAAGCACTCGTTGTCCCATGACGCAGACGCGCGGTTGATCCGGACGTTCTCGCGGTTTCCCTTCAGCCAAAATCGCGCCTTCAACCAACCTTCACGGACTGACGTTCGACCCATATCATCATCAAACGTCGAGTTACTGACCTGGAACAACGCAGCTACATACGGCGATCGTAGCAAGCGCGGCACTTTCACTACTGTGTCCAGCAACTGCTGCACGAGCGCAATCATCTCGCGGCTCACAGACTTCTCGCCAGTCGACAGGAACAGTTTGCGAAGCTGCGGCCATCGAGACTCAGAGGTCAACGGCGTCGGCTCTGGCACACCTGAGGACCCAACACCGTGGTCGTCCGATGGCATAAACGCAACAGACGACGGTGCATGACGCAGGTGCGGGCGACTCTTGATGTAAAACCAGAGACTCGAGATGGCCGACTTGGAGATCTCGACCTTCCACTTGAACGTCTTGTACTTCAACTACAAACAAGCAAAGAAGTACCGCATCCACACAGAGTCGAGCAGTGTGAGCACACGTACAATGAAACAAACACGACACGCGTCGCACTTCTTCGTACCTCAACATCGTACTCGACGTAGCGCGTGGGCCAGGAATCCTCAGAGCGACCGCCCACCACGTGCACCTCTGGCGGTGCGTCAAACACGTGAATGTGGTCGTCCGAGTGGTGGTGCAAGAAGTCAAAGAAGTCGGAAGACTCTGACGACTCGAACCGAGCGCGGTCACCGCCCGCCGCAGACACTGGCGCCTGTCCAGTCGGTGTGTTGAACACGGAATAGTCCGTGTACCCACGTGGCTGCTCCTCTCCTATCTCCTGGTCGTCCTGTTGGCCCTCCTGGACCTTTTCCTGGTCCTCCTGGCCCTCCTCTTGCTTCTCCTGGTCTCCCTCTTGCTGCTCTTGTTGCTGCTGCTGCTGCTGCTTTAGTTGTTCATCTTGTTGCTCTTCCACTTGCTTCTGGTCCTCCTGGTCTTCTTCTTCTTCTTCTTCTTGCTGCTGCTCTTGTTGCTGCTGCTCGTCTCGTTGCTGTTGCTGTTGCATTGCTGCCTTGACCACGTCCACAGCGCTGGGAGACGTCGACTCGGACTGCTCCGTGGGGCTCATCACGACGTGGCGCAACGAAAAGTGATGGAGCAGTCAGTCGGTCACTGGCTTTCGCGTGCGCAACTGCTGCTGCTGCTGCTGCGTCGTTGGTTCAAGAGAAAGGCCACAATAGCACGACTGGCCCCAACGACAATGTGGGTGCAAAACCGACTGCGACGCGGCGGGAGGCAGAGCGACTGAACGGGCGTTTCGTGCTGCACGAGCGAACCAGTTGTGGGCGCGCGCGCACACGAACAGAGAGCGAGCGAGCGACTCGACGGACGATGGACCTGTCAACGAGGTGACTACCGCAGCGCTCTCGGTGCGCAGTCCAAAGTACGGCCGATGGCTTTCGCTTTGATGTTTTTCTGTGCCCTTTGGGTTTGAAGTTGGGGACCACTTGTGCTGAGTCGCTCTGTGGTTCACTTACAATCTCTGTGCACGCGCTCTGCTCGTCGTGGTTGGCACTGTGAGACAACCAGTTCGACTTACAGTTGCAGTTCACGACTACGCGCAACAACAACAACAACAACAACAGCAGAGAGAGAGTTCGGACCACTTCTGCTGACGACTCGAGAATTTTCATCGACTATTTATTTGAGCTGTTGTACCCCTTTCGACTCTTTATCATAACCGTCAAGGGACATAACGATCGCCACACAAAAAACAGCTTTTGCGCCCGCTCTGTCGTGATTGACGACACACGACGCGGAGCGTAAACCGCTCAGAACTGTCGAAGCAGCCAATCCCCACACGCGAGAAACACGCAGCTGGTTCCACTCGAATCGAGTGACCGCATACAGCCGAGAGCATAGAAATCGCGTCGAGCAGATAGAAATCGAACCACGTATCGCGTGCAGCAGCAGCAGTAGAAATAGAGCAGAACAGCAAGCACAAGCGATAGAGTCGCGCACTCACAATCGAGCCAACGCACCGACCCAAAGTCGAGAGAGATAGAGATAGCGATAGCGCTATAGAGATAGAGCTAGAGATGGATACATTTTTGTGTCGACAGGAGCAGCAGCAGCAGTAGCAATATGGACGAGCGGCCGATGCTGCGCGGCATCTTTGCGTTCGAGGACGAGGAGACGCCCGAGTGGCGCCGCGTCGTCACGTCCGAGACGCTCGGCGGCGTGCCCAAGTTCGCCACCAAGTCCGAGTGCGAGGCCTTCATCCGCAAGCACTGCTGGCGGGGCTCAAACCCGGCCTTCCCCAAGCTGCAGCACGTCTTTTCGCTGCTCGTGGACTGGAAGCAGATCGAAGACGTCCTCATCCCCAAGATCGACGCCTACGACCGCAAGTACCCGATCGGGGCGACGCCTGCAGTCAGTGCGGCCAACCGCTTCGCCCAGGGCGAGGGACTGCCCATCGCCGAGGGCGTGGACTACCGCGTGAACATGCCCTTCCACCAGCAGACGAACCGCGAGTCGACCCTCAACACGCTGCACTACCTGTTCTTCCACATGCGCTGCGGCATTTTTGTGATGATCCGCCGTCGCCACGTGGTGCTTTTTGCGCCGTTTGTCAACAAACACTACGTCAACAATTGGGGACAGCACGTGACGTTTGACAGCTCAGATGGCAGCATGTTTGCCTACTACCGCGAGAAACAGCGGTACTACCGACGTGAGAACATTATCCCCGACGTGAACAAGTGGTGGGCGAACGGCAATATCATTTGCAACGAGCACTGCAGGTACCGCAACAAAGAAGACGAGACGCAGTACTGGGGCGACCAGTTTCTCACGCAACTGCGCGACATGCTCGAAGATGCGTGCAAGCACCGGAACATTGCAGACTGTGAGTTCTTTATCAACAAGCGCGACTATCCGCATTTGAAAGTGAGTGCGTATCTTTTTGTCGACGCTTGACGGTGGAACTTGTGTGCGTGCCATAGTTAACCGTTTGTGGATCTGATGCACAATTAGGAAAACCTGACCGAGCCTTACGGGTTCCTGTTCGACAAGGATGACCGAAATCCAGACGAGGACATCCCGCTTACGGAGCACCTCTACGCAACGTATGCTCCGATTATGAGCTTTTACGTGTCAAAGCGCTTTGCAGACATTCCATTTCCGTGCTCCGAAGACTGGGAAGCTGCTACTGGTCTTGTGTTCCCGCAGTCGTTCCGACATACTCATTGTGACCAATGCCCATGTCGCAACCCAGTGCATTGTGAAAACGACTGGGAGTGCTTTTGCAAACCAGGCGCCAACGGCCGGAAGAGGCACGGCATCGAAGGTGCGCGCGACCTGTTCACAGCCAACAACTTTCAGAAGTTTTACAAACCGTGGCACGACAAGGTGAATACAGCGTTTTTCCGTGGTAGTGCAACAGGCGGTGGCACCACGATCGAAACCAACCAGCGCCTTCACTTGGCGCACCTCTCCAATACGTGGAAGAAAGACCCGACGATGAATGGGGAAGCCGAAAGAGATGCCGGGGATGGAGACAACGCCGAGGAGGAGGAGTTAGTACCACTACTGAATGCAGAGGTGACGACGTGGAACCTCCGCGATAAGAAGATCGCTGGAAAGCCAATGACGTTCTTGCGCCACGAGGAATTCAACTTCGAGGGAGGGCGTCAGCATTTTATCCCCATCTATGAGCAGTCCAAGTTCAAGTACATCTTGTACGTCGAAGGTCACTGTGCTGCCAACCGTTACGCCTTTTTGATGCGCCTGGGTAGCGTGATTCTGAAGGTCGAGTCACGCTGCGTTGCCGACGAGATGTGGTACTATCCAGTTCTCAAGCCGTTTCAAGACCACGTGCCGATCCGGGCGGATCTATCCGACTTGGCCGAGAAGATCCAGTGGTGCCGCGACAATGATGAGAAATGTGAACAGATCGCCGCTCGTGCGAATGAGCTCTATGAGAAGTTTATTTCCAAAGAAGCGATCCATGACTACATGGAAGTGATTTGCAACCGGGTCGCCCGGCGCTTTCAGACAGCACCAGGATGGTACAAACGTCCCGAAGGCGTAGAATCGATGAAGAAGCCTGAATTTGGCCGCTGCCGCGGTATGTGTGTCGGCGGCGCAAACTCGCGTCACTGTAAGCGTTGTGTCGAGATGGAAAAAGATGATGAAGCAGCTCGCGCAAACCGTAAACGCAAGCGTGAGGACTCTCGCACTGACGATAGTGCAGACCACCGGGGTCGTGGGAGGCATCCTCGCAATGAGCATGGCCGTGACCGGGGTCGTAGTCGTAGTCGCGATCGCTACAAACGTGGCGACAATCGAGGAGGTGACTATCATCGCGACCGCGGCTACGGTGTTGCTTCAGATCAGGACAGGAACCGCCGCGATGGTCACGACAGTAGCCCGAAGCGTCAGCGCGTACAACAGTGCCGGAAATGTCGCCGTGCAAAGTCCGCCTGTCAGTGCAGTTTTCGTGGTCATTAGCTTTGGGGAATTGACGAGAACTCGTCACATTTCAAGAGCTTTTGTACACGATTGGGTACAAGCGTGTCGTTCGTATCGGCTGAGGGCAGATGCTTGCAGCTCACGAATCAATAGACAACGAGCCTCAGTTGGCCCTCTCATGCAATTTGGCACTGCTCATGTGTGCGCAGGAGAGAAGGGTCCAGGTACCTCATTTCTGCCTGCTACTACATGACTCTGTACGTGTTTGTCGTGAGTGGCCAGTTTTCGCAACGGCGACGTGTGCGATGATAGTCTCCAAGACAAGAAGCTCTGCCTGTCCTTTGTGACGATTGCGGCGCATGTTCAATTGACTGGCGAGCGATCCCTGATCTCCAGAGCATCAGGGGTCAAGACTGCTCTGTATGACGCAGTCACCAGTGTTTCTCCTACAACGTCGTCTTCAGCTGTCCTTCTTGACGACGTGGGTGAGTGGATCCTCTTCGATCCACATATTTGCATGTTGCCAGTAAACGGCGTAGATGGCCCCCGTCTCAATTGACTGCTTGACTGGATCTGATAGCTGAAACAGCTTCGCAATGCCTCGTCGTCAATGTTTTGTCCATCGACGCTTCGGGTTGTCATTCTTGGGCACATTTGCCGACATCTTCGAGCCCATCACGTTCGATGGTCGCGTTTGCAGGTTTCAACAGGCAGTCGTTGCCGCAGGTCGCGTTCAATGCTTTTCCGCCTTTGTACCATCGACCGTCTTTACGTGCGGCAACAGACCATTTCAAAGCATCGCTCCTTTTCCGCCGAGAGCTACCGCAAAGCGTAGGCAGCATGAAGTGGCTGCTGTCCAATCCGCCATAGACTCGTCGGGACTTTTGGTCCATCGCGAAGTCGCGTATGTTGCACCTTCGATCGCAATTCGTTTTGCAACATGGGCAGCAATAGCAGCACTAAGACGATCGAGAAGATTTACATGCTGATCGCGCTGCTCGAGTGGTCTTCGAAACGACCTGCAACGACCCACTGTCGCGTGGGTCACTGCTCTGCTGTCCAAACGCGGCTATCCCAGATATTCGTTTACAAAAGCGCGTCGAGATTGACGGCACTTCTCGTCACGCTTTGGTCGATATGAGACTTTCGAACCTGTGAGTAACGAAAAGCGCTTCATGCAGGCGAACGCCCATCCCCTATTGTCCGGTCATGCTCGTTCGTGAGCTTTGCCCGCACATCGCGATCGGCTCCTCTGTCGGCATTTGACTCGGTCCGCCACTCTAGAACCGGTAGAACAACGCCTGACGACACACGTTTAACAGTGGCGACCAATGTCAAGTGCACTGCTATTTTCCTGTAGACGTGGCAAAACACTGCTGAAAAACGCGTCACTGCACCAGAGCGGCTTCATACAGAGTGAGACGTAGCGCATAGCAGTTCACTATCGCGCTCAGCACAAATTCAGCCTGTCAATCATGTTTGCCTTTTACTGTACGAGCCCGAAAGCTAACGAAGTCATGTGTACTGCTTGGTTTGGATACGTACGGGTGATGCCCTCGTCTGAAGTAGGATGGAGCGGCTACAGCGTAACAACAGCGCGTGTGCTACCTACCAGACACCTTACGTAGACGATGACGATGCCGCACGCCGTCGCTCGTAATCAGGATCGTCTGTCGGTAGCTCGAATCGACAAAGTGGACACGAGTTGTGTTGCTTCAGCCATGGCACGATGCAGTCGGGGTGGAACGAGTGCTTGCACGGTAGACAATGAACTTCGTCGTTGACTGCGAATAAATCCTTGCAAACAGGACATTCGGCGCTCCCGTCCACTTCAGTCTGAGTCACTTTCACCTTTGGCAGCATTTCCACAATTTACTTAGCAGCAGGCGGAGTTCCATGCTGTCAGAGCCGCCAGCACGTCAGCTATGTATTCAACATGTCTTTGAATCAGCATTGCACCAATGAGTCACTTACCCGATTGGGGTCGTGTTGCATAAGCTGATTGATCACGTTTGCCATATTGCCAAACGCGTAGTCACCCGAGTTGCCAGCCAGCATCGGGAACATGCCACTCAGCGTGTCCAGCACCCCAAATGTATCCCCTGCCCCACCTTCTCCAGACTCACTGACGTAAAACTCGACGGGACCTCATGAAGCGTGTAGCACGTCCATTACCTGTAGCATCCGACAAAACTGGAACAAACTTCCGCGCGCATCGAAAGATAGCAGCATGAGTTTTCACTCGGTGCGGTATGCGGTACACCTGACAGAGAAAAGATCAACTCACGTAGGCAAAGGCGAGTCACCATCTCGTCCGTCCGAAGCTGGGAACCGTACTGCTCGGCCGGTTGGGCTAACAACAGTACGTCGCACATTGAGAACGTGATGACTGGAGTCCGCACAAGGGCAGTCATCATCTCACACAACTGCGTGCGCATCGTGGACTCATGATGCTGCTTTCATAGTACAGACGTGTTCCCACTGCCCATTCTGCGCTTGAAAGACTCAACGACGTTGTACAGCAGCATGGCGATAGTCATAGGGCCTACGCCACCAGGCACAGGTGTAACAACCCCCGCCACTCTACACGCCTCAGGGAAGTTGACATCACCAACTAGCTTGAAACCGTCAGCGTTTGCCTCTCCATGGTACGTGCCGTGCACGTCACGAACAAAGTTGATACCGACATCGATGACCGTCGCACCAGGCTTCAGCCATTCACCTCGTACGAGGTAAGGCTGGCCACACGCTGCGACAACCACGTCAGCTTGACGCACGTACCGCGGCAGATCGACCGTCTCCGAGTGACACAGAATCGTCGTGGCATTACGCTTCTGCAGCAACATGCTGACGGGATTGCCCACCAAATTGCTGCGCCCAATGATCACTGCTGTCTTGCCGCGCAATGCAATGTCTTGATCGTCCAGTAGCGCTAATATCCCTTTTGCGGTGCACGGGATCAAGTAGGAATACCGTCCGCGCATGGCCAGCTCACCAGTGTTGAAAGGATGCAGACCGTCCACGTCCTTGTCAAACTGGATGCGATCGATAATCTGCTGCGCGTTCAGCTTCGTCCCGGGCAACGGCAACTGCACGAGAATGCCGTCAATCGTCGGGTCTTGATTCAGCTCCTCCACCTTTTGAACAACAGTGTCCTGTGTGCACCAAAAGATCGTCAATCCACTCGCTTTTCCCCCCCTCTCTCTCTCTCTCTCTCTCTCTCTCTCTCTCTCTCACTAGCGCCGTCTGCCGTCTGTTTTTACCTGAGCCACACACTCGTCAAAGAGAAAGTTCTCCGAGCGAATACCTGCGCGACGACAGGCCGTTTGTTTGTGGCGAACATACAAAGCCGAGTCTTTGCGGTCGCCGACCATAATGAGTCCAAGTGCTGGCGCCTACACACACAGCGGCAGAGATATGTGTAGGCAATCGAAACGTCATATCAACAGACACCACGACACCCGCAACACCGCATAACAGCACAAAGCAGCAGCAAAGACGCCCACCCGTTTGTGTTGAGCAGTGAGAGCCGCCACGTCGCTCGTGAGCGCGGCCCGCAGCGCCTCAGCGATCCTCTTGCCGTCCACGACACGTGCTCTGGTCATAACGCAGATACTTTCGGTGCAGTGGGGCCCAAAACCAATGGACCCAAAATTAGCAGAGCCCAAAATGAACCACAGCTGTCGAAAAAGAAAAGCGTACCCCGCCCGCGCGTACCCCCCCCCCCCCTCCGCCATTCTACCTTTTTCTTCCGCACATGCGACAACAGGTCAACTATGTAGTCCCGTGTAGTCTCATTTAGTCCCATTTGGTCCACATCTAACCAAACGGCACACAAATCGATGCACAAAATGACACACATGACAGTGCACATCGCGCCATCGGCGGCCGTGTGCGTCCAGGCGCAGCTCAACGGCGCCGTAACGGTCGGGGCACAGAGCGCCGTGCATCCTGGAGCAACTGTGTGTGCGGCAGACGGTGCTGCGATCGTATTGGGCGATCGCTGCTTCGTAGAAGACGGCGCGGCGCTGGTCACCGACGCGCCGGGGGAGATGCTCATTGGCAGTGGCAATGTGTTCGAGAGCGGCTGTGTGGTGCGCAGTCGGCGCGTGGGCCACAACAACTGGTTCGAGCCCAAGGCCGAGTGCCGCGCAGACTCTGTGATTGGCGACAACTGCCTCATTGGCAGCGGCGTCGTCGTGGCGCAGGGCGAGTGCGTGCCGGACAATACGGTACTCGTGGTGGTCCAGACGCCGCTCGGTGACCTGCGACGCGTGACGCGGACGCAACGGACGTACTTGAGGGAGATGCACGCTGCACTGGTGCAAAAGTATGCTGCGGTTTTCGCGCGGGGCTCGAAGAGCGTCTATGCGCTCGAGAAACACCACGAATTGCGGACGTAAGAGAGAGAGAGAGAGAGAGAGAGAGAGAGAGAGAGAGAGAGAGAGAGAGAGAGAGAGAGCGGTGGAGAAGTGTCGGAGGCGCGGACTGGTGGCGGATTGGACGCTGTGAGCGTCTCTGTGAATGCTGAATCGATGCAGTCAGTGGAAGCAGTTGGGTAATGGCTGCATTGGTGTGGGCAGAATGGACTTGTGGGTCGTCGTGGGCGGTGTGGCTGTGTAGAGGGCGATGCTGGTGGGGAAGAGACGAGATGGTGATGGAAGGAGCTGCAATGTATGGGACAGGATGGTTGAGGCTCTGATCCTTTTCCGTCAAGCAGTCGGTGTGTAGATGCAAAACACGACCCCAACTCGCTCGAGTGCTGCTATTGCAGCAATCATCAGCTGGAACGTGTCTGCTACTTTTGTGGCTACTGACGAGCACGAAAGAGTTGCCGTCTTGCGAAGTGACTTGCTCGTACAATGCATAAGTTGCAAAAACGCGTGTCGTAGCCCGCGAACACAGCTTTGTTGCTTGACTTGTCCATCGTAGCATACATAGCCAGGTAGAACGGCAAGCTGATCGTAGTAGTGCGAAAGCCGTCCAAAGTCCCTGTGCAATGGCAAGCACGACATCAGTCTATGATGACGTACTATTGTGCAGTAGCTTCGATACGCACAAGAAGCACTGCTGCCACTCTGCACGGACTGAACTCGTGATCGAGAGAGCCGATTCGGCTGAAGTGAGTACACTGCATGCGACGTTTCCGGTCCAATCTGCCAACTCTCATGTATTACTTCTTCCCGTTGTGCGCCTACTATCGGCCGCGTCTTTGCCGTACCAAGCTGCGTACCCGCCCCCAACTTTTCAACATGTGGCCAACGCCACAAACACACGCACGACCCGTTTATGCCATCGATGTCGGCTGCTGCCGAAGTGCCATTGCGTTCTATACTGCAGCCACCTCTCTCTCGAGGCAGTTAGTTACATGCTCCGCAGCGGTTAGTTGATAATGCCACGTGCTTTGCCGCACTCGATGAAAGCGTCCACGGCCTTGTCGACGTCCTCGATACTGTGCGCAGCCGAGAGCTGCACGCGGATCCGAGCCTGGTCTTTCGGCACGACCTGGTCGTCCACCACCACCACAACAACAACAACAACAAACACACACATGAATCCGTTAGATACACACTATGCATACCCTTGCAGTGCCAAGGTGCTGCAGCGGATCAACTCGTACGGGATAGCTAAAGCCAATGACGTAAATGCCACGCTTGAGCATCTCGTCCGCCAGTTCCGACGCCAGACGCGCATCCCCGAGCATCACAGGCGCAATCGGGTGATCACTGCATCACACACACACACACAGACACAAGACACGTGAGCGTTCTGCTGGTCCAACCCCTCAACTGGTGCACGCCGTACCGCGATCCCTTGAGCGAGAAGCCGGCCGCCGTCATGCGGTCGCGAAAGTGGTGCGTGTTGACGCGGATCTTGTCCACGAGCGCCGACGACTCGGTGAGCATCTCAAAGACCTTGAGCGAGGCGCCCACGACGGACGGCCCGAGCGAGTTCGAGAACAGATACGGCCGCGAGCGCTGCCGCAGCATGTCGACGACCTCTTTGCGGCCCGTCGTGTAGCCGCCCGTGCTGCCGCCCAGCGCTTTGCCCAATGTCGAGTTGATCACGTCAATGCGGCCGTGCACGCCGCAGTACTCGTCGCTGCCGCGTCCCGTCGCGCCAAGAAAGCCCGTGGCGTGGCACTCGTCGATAAACACTTGGGCGTTGTACTTGTCGGCGAGCGCGACGATCTCCTGCAAGGGCGCGACGCTGCCGTCCATACTAAAGACACCGTCCGTCGCAATGAAGCGCGTGCGGCAGTGCTGCGTGGCCTGGAGCTTTGCTTCGAGGTCCGTCATGTCGCGGTGCTTGAACCGGTGGCGCTCGGCCTTGCAGAGCCGAATGCCGTCAATGATGCTCGCGTGGTTGAGCTCGTCCGTGAGCACGGCGTCGTCCTTGTTCAAGAGCGTCTCAAAGAGTCCGGCGTTCGCGTCAAAGCACGAGGGGTAGAGGATCGTGGCTTCTGTGCCGTGGAACGCCGAGATAGCGGCCTCGAGCTCCTTGTGGATGTCCTGCGTGCCGCAGATGAAGCGCACCGAGCTGAGGCCAAAGCCCCGCGACGTGAGCGTGTCGGCCGCTGCTTGGACCACAGCCGGGTGGTTGCTCAGGCCCAAGTAGTTGTTGGCGCAAAAGTTGAGCACGTTGTGGCCATTGACGGCGATCGCTGCGCCTTGCGCCGAGGCGATCACGCGCTCGTGTTTGTACAGACCGGCGGCTTCGATGGCCGAGAGGTCGTCGCGCAGGCGGTCGACGAAACTGTTGCGCGTGGCGGTCGCGAGCGCGCGACAGAGAGGCGCCGAGGAAGCGGCGCCGAGCGTGCGGGAGGGAATCATTGCGGCGGGGGGGAAAGATATGTAGAGAGGATCAGACTGTCGATTGGGTCGTTATGACCGCCAGGGGAAAAAGATATGTGTATGTATGTGTGTGTATATGTCGAGAGGTGAGAGATGGACCGAGACACAAAGTGAGTTGATGCGCGCGGTTGGCGTCCTATCGGGTGCCCTGACGATCTGATGATCGTTGACGAGCATAGCGTACAGTGAGGGCATATCGACGCGGTGGATATGCCTCGTGCGGTTTCAGGTTTCGGACGACAGGGTGGGCACAAGAGCAGTTGATGTCTGCCACACAAATGGGTCCCGATGGTCGGCTGGTTGCCCAATTCGACCCCGCACTTTGGCTCGAGCGTTTTGGCTGGACCTCAAGTCGTGTAGCCATTGCTGCCCCACGGAGCGCCGTCGTGTAGCCAGTTCATTGCTTGGACGCCGTCATGGGCAAAGCCAAGAAGCTCCGGACGATCAGTCACAAGAAACGGGTGCCGCCCACGGGCGGTCCGTCGATTGAAGAGCTGAATGCGCTGGAGACGATGGACGTCAATGCCGTCGCCGCCGATGAAGCGCAGCTGTTCAAAGGGCTCGTGGACGTCCAGGGCGCGGTGCGCGAAGCCACTTGCGTTGCGCTCGCGACACTGTTTGGCGACATGGGGAGCGACGAGACGGAGGCCAAGAGCCGGTGCAAACTGCAGCGGATGGTGGACGCCGGTCTGCTGACGAAACTCATCCCGCGGGTCGTAGATCCGCTGCCAATGGTCCGCCAGCACGCGCTCGGCGCGCTGCGCAACATGAGTGTGACGGGCGGCTTGGAGCTCTGCGAGGACATGACGAGGCAGAACGTGGTCACGCCGCTGGTCAAAGTCATTACGGAGAACGCAACGGAGACGGCGCTTTGCAGCAATGGCGATTTGCGCGCTGTGCAGGTGCTGGAACAAGCAGTGGCGTTACTTGGCAACTTGTGTGAGAGCTGCCAGGCGGCGATCAACGAGCTGACACAAGGTGAGCTGCTGCCACCGATCTTCCGGATTGCTGCAATGGCGCGCGCACACCCGATGCTGCATCTAGAGACGCTGAAGCTGCTGTTGCTCATTACGGAGAGCAACGTACCGCTGAATGAGGTGATCCGAGGCAATGCAACGTACCAGCAGACGATCTGCGACCTCATGCAGGCGCCCGCTGATCAGTTGTCGCTGCAATGTCGTCTCGAAGCTGTGGGTATTGCCGTCAACTTGCAGTCGACGATGCAGGTGGAAGACAATGCAGCTCGAGTTGTGCCGGTGCTAGAAGCGGCGCTCGCATACGATGCAGTGAACGTCGTGCAGATGGCACAGCAGGTGTCAGAGAACTATGAGCTATCGCAGAAATCCGTGCTGGACGATGGGAATGTAGATGACGATACGTTGACGTCGGAGGAGAAGCAGACGATTACGACTGCCCAGCTGAAGGTTCGCGCGTGGCGCGACAGTGTGCATACGCTTACATTGGCACTAGAACTGGTGGCTCAAGTGGCTACGTCTGGAGACGACGTCGACGACGAAGAGGAGTGGGCCAGCGATGACGAAGATGCCATGGAGGAGTATGCGGCATCTCACATGGACACGGACGCCACGGCCGGTGCAACAAGCACTCCCTTGTCCAAGTTGCTCGAAACGAGTCGCGTGCTTCCGCTTTGCATGAACATCTTGCAGGGACTTGTGTCGATCCCGCAGCTTTCTGCAAGGGCAATCGGTACGACTTTTGCTGCTCTCCTTCGATCTGTTGCATGGCGCATGCGCTAAGCTTTTTTCTTGCTCTTCTAGGCAAGGATTTCGAGACAATGCGTATTCGTGTGTGTAACGCTGTGAACAACCTGCTGCTGAGCGTGTCGTGGGAGGTGCTCAGTGACGAGATGGTGGCCCAGATCTTCAGTAACCTGTGTGCTTTGTACGGAAACCTCAAGCGCGAAGTTGAGGCCGTTTGCACTGCGTCCACCTCCTTCTCGCTCGAGAGCAGCGCGACAAACGACCTTGAGGTTGCAGTGACTACAGCAATGCTGTCGATGCTGCGTCGTAGCGGACCTGAAAACCGTCAGCTAGCTGTCACTGCAGAAGATGCTGAGCTGATCTTGACGTGCGCTGCTCAGGGACGCTCAGCCGAGTCTCGAGTCAACGCAATTGGTATGGTCGGCTGTGTGGGTAAGCGCTGCTCTAGTGCGGCTGAGAAGGAGGCTGTTGGACGCGCTCTGGTAGCGCGACTCGATGACTCGAGTCTCGAGGTCGTGGCCGAGACCTTGAACGCCATCTTTGACGTGTACGACGACAAGGACTTTGACGACACGTTCCGAGCGCTTGGATTCCTCAGTGCACTGGAGCGCACGTCTAGTGCCATGAAGACGAAGCTGAAAGCAGAGCAAAAGCAGTTAGATCGCGCTCTTGTCGCGCACGTCAAAGAGACCCGTCTCAACCTCTTACGCTTCATCAAGTACAAGAAGAAGCACTTGTAACCACAACCGATCAGCAAGCGCCGTCTTCTTTTGTGTGTGTATAGCGGAGCAACGTACGTCGTTCTCGATCACATGTTTCGTTGTTGTGTCTTGTGCCATTTGCTTCGGATCCGTGAGTCATTACGGCCTTACACTGAAAAGCGACGACATGGCAGTAGACGGATACGGTGCACGACGAGCTCAACTAGTCGAGCGCTTTTGGAGGTCTCCGACTCCATTCTGTCGCTGGATACAGCATAAGTGACTGCATAACCACCGTCCATGGTCCCCTCTTATCGTGCTTTTTGTCTGCGCTGAACTCATGACCTAGAGAGTCAGAACCGTCGTGCAAGTTGAAGCGATCGATCGATTGACCACACCCGTGGATCGCTTCATTGAAGTGCCTCGTGTGCCGTGTTCTGATTGGTCGGTGCAATTATCAGCCAATCGCTGCGCTTCACGTGGCCCTCGTGAGCTCCTGGCGACTCGTTCCAGATCATTTGCAGTCTTCACGTGGGATCAACAGAGCAATGAGAGGGACGCGCGCGCTGCCGCTCCTCGTGGGCCTCACGGGTCTCGTGGCGCTCGTCGGGGCACTGTACGTGGAAGAAGACGCTGTCAAGATGCTGGACGCCGAGGACTTTCGTGAACAGGTGCAGCAGGACTCGGGCGTGTGGCTGGTGGAGTTTTACGCGCCATGGTGCGGCCACTGCAAAGAGCTGGCGCCCGAGTACAGGCGCGCGGCCAAAGCGCTCGCGGGTGTCGTGAACGTCGCGGCGATCGACTGTGAGGAGAACGAGGGCTTTGTGCAGGAGTTTGAGGTGGAGGGCTTTCCGACCATCCTGATCTTTGGCAAGGACAAGACCAAGCCAACTGTGTTTGACGGCGAGCGCACGGCGAAAGGCATTGTGGACGCGGCGCTAACGGCCTCTCGTCGAGTGGTCAAGGCCCGACTGGACGATGGCACGGAGAAGAAGAAGAAGACGAAGACGAGGAAGCCTCGACCCGAGCCCAGGAAGAAGCCAGTGAATGGCAAGAGCAGTGTTGTCCAACTCACGGACGCGACGTTTGACGACATGGTGCTGAACAGTGGAGACGTGTGGCTCGTGGAGTTTTATGCTCCATGGTGTGGCCACTGCAAAGCTCTGGCTCCAGAGTGGGAGCAGGCTGCGACGGATCTGAAGGGATCGGTGAAGCTAGGGGCTCTTGAAGCGACAGTGAACGAAGTGAAGACAACCGAGTACAAAGTTGACGGGCTTCCTTCCATTCGAGTGTTTGGACCCAACGCCATGGGTCCTGCAGATGCTGAAGAGTACACGGGCGAGCGCACAGCTGCTGCGATCACTGACTTTGCTCTCGCCGCACTGGAAACACTGGGTGGCGGTCTCCGCATCAAGGAGCTTGTTTCTGATGATGCCGTGGCCGACATTTGCTACGGCAGATCGAGCTGTGTAATCAGCGTCCTCCCGCACATTACTGAAGGCGGAAAGCGTGCACGTGATGGCTATCTCGAGACTCTCGAAGAGGCAGCGAAGCTGGTGCGTGGCAAGCCATTCAAGTTTGGATGGATGCAAGGCGGCGACCAACCCGAGTTTGAGAACCGCTTCGAGCTGACGTTTGGGTACCCGTCATTGGTGGCGATCAACTTGGATCGGAAGCGCTACGTCGTGCAACGTGGTGCCTTTACGGCTGAAGCCATTAGTGCGTTTTTGCAGGATGTCATGCAAGGCCGCGAGTCAACAGTGGGTTTTGACGAGTTACCACCGATCAAGACGGTCGAGCCATGGGATGGCAAGGACGTGGAGCTCGACGAGATTGACGAAGATGACGACGACGATATCTTGAGCGAGATCCTGGCTAATGCCGTCGGGAAGGAAGAGCTGTGAGGCGGCATGCAGCGTATTAGGTGTCTGGCCTCGGATGCAGCGATGCTGTGAGTGTTGTTAGGATGCTTGCCGTCTACGCTTGACGGTTTCACCAGTCTAGCGTGTGTCGAATCGCATCACCACTTTGTCCATCAGGTGTCGTAGTCGCGTTGCAACAGTCTCGACGTGCTGAGCTGTCAAAACCACCGCATGACGTGGCTGAAGCAGCCAGAACTATCTCAACGACCCACAAACGCTTCCGACATCGGAAACGACATGCCGCGTCAATAACTGCACGACACTTGACAGTGGGTCCCCCTTGCAACGTAGGCTCGCAGTGCTCTGCTGCAAATCCGCTGGTCAAATTCACGTCAAGTGGGTAGATCAAGTTCCCAGCAACCATATGACACGAAGCCAAAGCGGGTCCGTCGCACCACTTGCGACCAGAGTCACCACTGTCAACCACAGTGTGCAAAGGACTATCCCATATGACGATGGCAAATGACAACGCACATGATACTCCATGTAAAAGAGCTCTACCTCGTTGCACCAGCGTCGCCACATCGTCAGCTGCGACAAATTGGCTCATCAGAGTACTATTTTTTATTGCTGCAACTCACATGTCACATCAACAGCCACGCGCGCCCTCGCGTCCATTTCAGTGGCGAAGAGATACCGCCACTATAACAGTAGAAACACGCGATCCGGTGCGATTTATGTCTTGTCAAGCGGACAGGACGTCCCATGTCGCATGCACGTCGCAATATTCCGACGGACGGCGACAGTCCGACTGGATTCGCAAATAAGGGAGAAAAACAAACATCGTGTAGCGCTACGCTCTTCCCACGCGGTCGCACATCACAGCTCGTGCAGCCGCTTTTTGTTTCGGCCAATGGCCTCGCGTAGCCTCCAGCGGGTCGAGCACCGGAACGGACTTTTGACGAATCAGTGCTTGCCGTGCAGATGCAACCGCGCCCACCAGCCGCCACTTGCCGACTTCTGCTTCGTTTCCGTCGTCTTTCCCACTGCTGTTTCTCGAACCGCTGCGGGTGGTGGATCAGGCGGTAGTAGTAGTAGAAGAAGTAGCAGAAGAAGTAGTAGTAGCAGTAGTAGAAGTAGTAGTAGAAGTAGTAGTAGAAGTAGTCAGTCGCCGCTTCATACCTCTCCCCCCTCCTCTCCCCCCCTCCCGACCTCTCTCTCTCTCTCATTATTCATCAACTCGCCTTCTCCCCCACACGTGCAGTCTCCGCGTCTGCCTCTGCCATTGCGACTATCGATCGACGACAACTCTCTCTCCCCACGCTCCCAGCGAAAGCCCCCCCCACATGCCCAATCTACTGAAAGACCTGCTCGCGACGGTCGCGCCCCAAGCGAAGCGTCCCCCTGCAGTCGCCCTCGACCACCAATCGCCTCTCGCCCGCCAAGCAGAACGCGGCGTCGAGTCCGCTCGTCGACCTCGCGAGTCGGAGAGAAGACGTCTGTGGCCACGTGACTCCTGCGCAGCAACAGGCACAGGCCAAGTTGGACGCGTTCGTCTTTGTGACGATGCTGCGGTAGAAGAAGAGCCGGAGGAGACACTCTGCTGCTCGTGGCGGTCATTGCCGCGCACCCCTTAACGCGGTCGAGATGGGGACCAAAGGAACAAACAGAAGAAAGACAGAAAGAAAAAGTGGCGGACGTCTGTCCGATCGACCGAACGGCTGACGGACGGATTGTGCCCCGACCTGTGCATTTCGTACCATATTTGGACAAGGAGGTGGGTGACTGACTGGCTGCGCGTCTCTCTGCTGCTGTCGTGCGTGTGCTCAGCTGCGTTCTCTGCTGCGACAGCTCGTCGAGCTCTTTGCTGCGGTCTGAACCTGCCGCCAATACAAAAACTCATTTCTGCTCAGAGCTCTCGTGCAATAAGCGCGAGGGTCTCCTTGTTCCGTCGTCTTGGTGCGTGCTCTTCCTCCTTCATTGTAACTCACGTGGATCTCTATGTCGTACGCAAAGTCTACTGGTTCTGTCCCGCACAAAAGGTGGCAATGCAACAGTATAGACAGTGCCTACCGCCCGAGACACCTCTGCTTGTTCGTCTACAGGTTTTCGATCCTTAACTAACTACTGACACGTAACGGTACGGAAAGAGGAACACACCTATCCACACGCACACAGACGCACTTGACTGACTGACTGACAAGACGTTGCTCGATACATTCTCTCTATTCATCCATGTGACCTCCAGCAATTGCATCTGCGCCTGCCAAAGTGCTTAGGCGTTCACCACCTCAATCTCAAAGATGAGGTCCGAGTTGCCAGGAATAGCTGGCGGTGACCCCTCACGGCCGTAGCCCAGACGCGATGGAATCGTAATCGTGCGTTTGCTGCCAACACGCATCCCCTCAATGCCAATGTCCATGCCCTTGATCACGTCCCCAATGCCGTGGCGGAACGTAAACGGCTTCTTGCGGTTCTGGGCCGCGTCAAACTGCTTGCCGTTCGTGAGACGGCCGCGGTAGAGAATGGCGATCTTGCGACCGCGCTGCACGGCTCGGCCCTTGCCAACAGTACTGTCAAAGCAAACGAAACATCAAACGCATGAGTGGCCAGCTCGATCCATGGCCCACATGGAGTACAATGACAGACTTACATGTCCTCGATCGTGACGCCCTTGACCAGACGCGTGGACACCTTGGACTTCTTCGGGACTTCGACCGATTCCGCCGGAGCTGCGCGCTTCTTGCTCTTCGGCATTGAAGCAGTTGCTTCAGCCAGCTTCTCCGCCAGTTTCGTCTCCTTCTCCGCCAGCTTGGCAGCTTTCGCCTTCTTCTTGTTCGCCTTTGCTTTTGTTTCGCTCTCGGCAAGAGCGTCAAGCGCCTTCCTCGCAGCAGCAGCAGCAGCCTCCTTCTTTGTCGTCTCGTCCTGCTTGACCTTCTCCTTTTTCGGTGGCTTTTTCGCTGCCTCAGGCTCGTCCTTGTGGAGACGTTCCTCAAGGACCTCAAAGCGGCTCGCTTTGTCGTCATCGTCGCTCGTCTCGTCCTCCTCCAGCGCATCTTCCTCCGCTTCACTCGAAGACCCGTCGCCAAACACCATCATCTCTTCGTCCTCGTCCTCCCCAATGTCGTCAAAGTCGTGCTCGTCGCCGCTGTCCTCCTCTTCTTTCACCTCAATGAATCCCGTGAGGTGGATAGCGTTCGGACCGTCCACGACAAACTCAATCTCGCCGTCGATCGGCGTAAACGTCTGCGTCAAGTTCCACTGCTCTGCTCCCTCGGGCGTCAGCGTACACAGCGCAATCTTCGACGTCTTTGCCACCACCGAAAGCGTCGAGCGGCCCTTGGCCACTTGAGCGCCAAGTGCTGCAGAGTTCAATTGCAAGCAAAAGTCCTCGACCTCATTCGACCACTTGAGCGCGCAGCCAGGCTGGATCACGTGGCCAAAGAAGCCTGGCACGGGCGCCACCTCAACACAGTCGGCCTTCTTGCCCATTCCGCCGCGTTGCGCAAATGATCCCAAAGTGGCTTCACAACGGATGGTCCACGTGCACGGGTACACTGTACCGTACCGAGTTACACCCCACACCCTCTGCGTACCCCTATTTCTTCGTCCACCGCTCGGGCTGAAACTCGAGCTGATTGCTGCGTTTGGCTATCCGGACGATCTGCAAAACCAGTGAATGTATCCATTCAGTTGGCCAACCGGTCCACTCTCAGTACTGACTCGATAATAGTCGGCACTCTGAACAATAGCCACTATAACTTCAACGGCAACAACAACAGAGGACGTACGTACCCGACATCCGCCCAATGTGAGCTGCTTGCCCGACTCGAGCGATCGAAGAGCTCGCGCAAGACGAGCGACAGAGGCCAAACGCGGCGGTGCTTCTTTGTTGCCCACATGGACGATAATGCGCGACAGCACTCGATAGAGCAGCTCGTCAAACACGTCGGGGTCGCGGACCATTGCCATGTGCACGACGACAACGTCAGACTGCCAGAGGACCGTGTACTTGTGAAGAACGCGCTGTTCTGCACGCACAAAGAAAAACGACAACAACTGTGAGTACTCTGTAGCACGTCAACGGTACGTGTCGTTGCGGCCGCACCAAGTCGAGCGAACTCGTGTTTGGCAGTCTCGGCAGTCTGTTGAAACCGAGCGAACAAGTCGAGGATCGCCGCTCCTCGTTCCTCTTCGATCCGCTTGAGCGCCTGCGTTGGGCATTGAGGTGTACACAACGTGGCAGGTACGAGTCGGCTACTGCCGGCATGAAAAAAGAGCAAACCACTCGTACCTGACGGACGCGAACGCGGTCGTACGTGGGGTCATCGTTGGACGGATCGTGGATCCACGTCTGCTGGAATCGACCGCACGTTGCCATCAACTGGTCCTTTGTCACCGACAGCAACGGTCGGACGACGGTGGTCATCTCGTTCGTCGCTAGCGCTGGCCAGTCACGTGAACAACGTGACAAGTGAGCGGCTGGAAAGAGGGGCAATTGACGTGCGATGCCAGCCAGTCCATTGACCCCACTCGCCCGTCCAAGACGGAAGAGCGTCGTCTCCAGCTGATCGCCTCGATTATGCGCCACGAACAGACACTGCACGCGGTACTCGATGCAAACCTGTCGCAGCAAGTCGTATCGATACCGTCGTGCGTGTTCCTCCATCTTGCTCTCATGTGGCCTCGTGGGTCGTGCGGTGTCCATTGCCACCACCCGTTCGTCTCCAGCGTGCAGCTCCATCTCTTCGCACTGCCAGTCACACACTCTGGTGATGTGACGGATACCCTCTCGAGCGGCACAGATTGTCGACACCTCACGCGCTTCAGCGCTGCTCTCAGGCCGTAAGCGGTGGTCCACTGTCACGGCCAAGAGCGGTGTTTGAATGCACCGGAGCTGCAAATACTCGCGCAATAACAGCATCAGCGCCATACTATCAGCGCCACCGGAAACAGCGACAGCGAGGGGGAACTCGTGCGGCCGTGCGCAGTGTCCTGCAGCCCCAATTGCCACACGTCACCGAGTGAGACGACAGCACAGCACAGCACAGCACATGTTATCACTCTCGCTATCGGATTATCTGCAGGCGGAGACACGTACCCTTCTCGAGCGGGTAGAGGTCGGCACGCAGTCTCTTTTCCGATATGCCACACTGGTGCATCAAGTCGGCAAACAGTGCAGCGGATACCAAAGACGACCCATTAATGCGATTGGTATCAACGACGCGGTGGATTGCCAAAGTGGCTATGCGAGTTCGAAAGAGTCGACGGGGCACTGGTAGCGCCTGTTGGATGCCAATGCGTAGTGCGAAAAGGCCGTAGTGCTGTAGGCGCATGTTGGAGTGGACGTGGAATTCGGCCCTCGACGACAAGTGGGACAATGAATGCAAAGTGAGACCGTCACCGGCGCGACGAAAAGGTCCACAAATGAGTCCTTTGGTTCGTTGGACATCGGATGCTGCGTCAACAAGGACGTGGACAGCAGCTGCTCTGCGTTTCGACTCGCGGGCACACACAATCAACACGAGCGGGCAGCTGCATATGGCAAAGCTCATCATCCAACCAACTAGACTGTGTGGTTACTTGTCAACATCGAGCGTCTCCGAAAAACAGAGAGCTGCAGCGCGAGCTGGTGGTACTGGCACGACACGAGCACCTAGAACGTCGAGTACTTGCCGAGCTTCGCCACGTCACGAAAGTCCGCGCCAGCGTAGCGAGCATTGGCCCCCAGCTCCTCTTCGATACGCAAGAGCTGGTTGTACTTGGCCAGACGCTCCGAGCGGCACGGAGCGCCCGTCTTGATCTGGCCCGCGCTCAGACCCACTGCCAGGTCTGCAATGAACGTGTCTTCAGTCTCGCCGCTGCGGTGGCTGGCCATGATGCCCCATCCGGCCTTCTTCGCCATCGTCACGGCCTCAATCGACTCGGTGATGCTGCCAATCTGGTTCACCTTGAGCAGAAGCGCATTGCACGCCTTCTGTTCGATCGCCTTCTTCACACGCGTGGGGTTCGTGACGGTCAAATCGTCGCCCACAATCTGCACGTCTTTGCCTACTTTGCTCGTGATCTTGACCCACGAGGCCCAGTCGTCCTGGTCAAACGGGTCCTCGATCGACACGATGCTGCTCGAGGCCGCACACGTGGCAATAAAGCCCTCGTAGACCTCCAGTAGCTTGTCGGCCGAGAGCTTGTCGGCGTCAGCTGCCTGGTCGTTCTTAAAGTCCAAATTGTACCGCGCGTCAGTCGCTCCCGTGTAAAACTCCGAGGCCGCCACGTCCATGCCCAGCCGGACCTTGTCCGTGTAGCCCGCGGCTTGGATGGCCTCTTGAATCAGGTCAATGGCTTCGGCGTTCGACTGGATGTTGGGCGCAAAGCCGCCTTCGTCGCCCACGGCCGTAGCATCGAGGCCGTAGCGGCTGTTGATCACCTTCTTCAAGTGGTGGTACACCTCCGAGCCTATCTGCATGGCTTCGGTAAAGCTCGTGGCCCCAATGGGCAACACCATAAACTCCTGCATGGCCAACTTGTTGCCAGCGTGCGAGCCGCCGTTGATAATGTTGAACGACGGCACGGGCAGGCACGGGCTCGGGTTGCCCGCGAGGTCGGCAATGTACTGCCACAGCGGCTGCTGCTTGGCGGCCGCGCCGGCGCGACAGAGCGCGAGCGACACGCCGAGGATCGCGTTGGCTCCGAGCTTCTTCTTGCACCAGCCCCACTCGTTCTGCGTGCCGTCGAGCGTCTCGACCATGAACCGGTCGAGCGCCGTCTGCTGCGTCACGTCCTTGCCGAGCAGCGCCGGGGCGATCACGTCGTTCACGTTGCGCACAGCAGTGCGTACGCCTTTGCCCATGTACGCCGCGCCGCCATCGCGCAGCTCGAGCGCTTCGAACTCGCCGGTCGAGGCGCCGCTGGGGACGGCCGCGCGGTAGAGGCCGAGTTCAGTGGTCACGTCGACTTCGATCGTGGGGTTGCCGCGCGAGTCAAAGATCTGGCGGGCGTGGAGCGCGACGATGGTGACCATTGTGGAGCGATGCGGGACCGGGGGAGCGGTCGTGGGGGACAACACCAGTGGGGAAAAGTGAGCGCGTGCGTGGGGTGCGGCTGCAATTGGAAAGTGAGCTGCTGGGGCACTGGGGGGAATCATCGTGGCGTCGGCCGGGGGTTTGCCGATTTTAACGACGGTGGGCGCGCGGGGGGGGGCCTAGTTTAAGGTAAGAAAGGATTGCTTCGAAACGCGACGGCTGGGGAGTGGGGTGGGGTGCCACGTTGTTGAAGTAGGTGCTGGAGTGGGCAAAAGCGACGATATGACCTTGACGCGCGTGACGATCATAGTCGCGGGGGGCGAGGCAGCGATGGAAATGTAAAGACTCGATTGGTTTGCGCTCTCGTTTGATTACAGTCGATCCTGCTGGTCCAATAATGGAAAGTGCTCGTGCGCGACATGCAACTCAACTCGACACGCTTACAATCGGCGGAAACGGCTGCGTCTTGCTGACCACGAGGATCTTCTTCGTGTGCGACATGTACCCCTTGATGTAGCCCTTGAAGATGAGGTTCGTGAGCACGCATTCAATCTCGTTCATGTCCATCGAGTGCCCCGTGGCAACATGCAGTGCCAGCTGGAAGTCTTGCATCTGCAGCTGATGGCTTTCCTGGATCAGGTACCTAGAAAAGCACGCGCATGCATGCGACACGAGTAGGCAGAGAGCAATGTAAGCTTCCGTAATCAGTGACGTAGCCAGCTGGTAGTTCACTAACGTACACTTTCTTGAACAGGTTTCGCAGCACCAAGAGCCGGAGTTTCTCGATCAATAAATACACACCCTGGCGAATGAACTTGTCTTGATACTGACTCACATAGTTTGTGAAAAGGTGCAGGTTGCCGCCACGGATGGCGTTCGTCAGACCCGTGTACTCGCCCAGTGAGAAATCCGACAAAAGCTTCGGCGACGGCATCACACCCAGCAGCAACTTCACTGGCACCAGGAATTGCAGAATCATGCGCTTGTTGCGCGTCTTGTCGCGATGGCAGTGCTTCCACGCATAGTCGAGACACGTCTCCGCTTTCTTGTATTGGTCTTCAAACATGGAGATGCGGCCCACGTAGTATTGGTACGTGACCTTGTCGCTCTTGTTGAACAGCTCAAACTGCGGAAACGCCGGTCCTTCGACAGCTCGAATGAGGTTGCGACACAAGTGAATCATATTCAGCTTGAAGTAGATCTTAAAGAGCTGGTTCACAATAAACAGCGCGCCCATCTTCTTGTTGTGCTCGGGCGGAGCTCGGTCGTTTGCCGTCATGGCAAACCCTTTTTTCAAATGCTGCTCGGCGCTGCGCAGACTGTCATGGACGTCGCTCCCCGCCTTTTTCGAGGCCTGGACATCTGCCTGCAGTACGCCGACACACCAAACATCAACAACAAACGTCCCAACAACGTTAGTCACGTCCTCCACGAGTCATCTCGACCTGACCCGTGCAGCCTCTCACCCTTGCAGCCAATAGCCGCGTGTCCACAAACAGCACGTGCACAAACGGTATGACCCAATTCGTCTCCTCCCTAAACATTTCCATAAACTTACTGCCCGCCGTTCGCCATATCCACCACACCCACCCAAACAGACACACGTCATTCAACCCCCACTCGTCAACATATCCTCTCGGAAACATACGGCAACAGCGCTGCGTACGTGACAGCTGCAATCTGCGCATCGTAAGCGTCGGCAAACCGCTGTGCGTCCAGATGCTTGCGCGCCTGCAGGATCCCCGCCACCACTTCTGCGTACGCGGCAAAGCGAGCCAACTGGTGCTGGCACGTCTGAGCCACCGACTGCACCGTGAGCGACTGCATGTCGACCGTCGCGCAGCCCTTTGTCAGGCTCAGCATCTGCGCTAGCGATGGGCCGTCGCGCGCGCCAATGGCTGCGCCCACGCGGTCCACAAACGCCGTCAGCTGCATCGGTCACGTGAGGAGGCGGACGCGAAGTGCGAGGAGGTCACGAAGCTAAAAAAGGGTACGAAACGCTAAAATAGGGTACGAAAAAGCGACACAACACCCAACGTGCTCCTTCGGGATCCGATCTGGTCGAAGCTGCTCACACCAATCTGCAGTGATACACATATCGAGCACAAAACTGGGTGACAGAGTGTGCCCAATCGCTCTCGATATGACTCGATGGGTCGCCAGGATGTCGCTGCGTTTCTATTTCTATCGCGTTTTAGACACCTGCCCGCTCGACCCGCATCGACGATGGACCTCGCGAACAAGCGCCGCGTGCCGCCCGTCGAGGCCGACAAACAGCGCGCAGTAGGAGGCCGCGTGCTGCCCCACGGCCACTCATCTGCTGCTGCGTCTGCTGCTGCTGCGGCTCGTCCGTCTTCTGTCTCGTCGCGGTGGGGCGCGCCGCTCGTGTACGTTGCGCTGCTCTTCTTTGGGTTTATGATTGGCGTCCACGTGTGGCAGTTCTCGAGCCTCGAGGCGGACCGCGTGCTGTCGACGCCGTTCTACAACAAGTCAATGGTGCAGTTTAGCACGACGTGTGGCCCGTTTACGGTCGAGCTGTACCCCGAGCACGCGCCCAGGACCGTCGCGGCCTTCAAGACGCTCGTGGACACTGGCTATTACCTGAACGACACGGGCTTTTACTACAACGAGCCCAAGTATGTGCTCCAGGGAGGCGGGTACCTCGCTGACAAGGTGTCGCCCATTGACGGCGACTTGCCAGTCGAGTACAGCGCGCCCAGCACGGAGCGGATGGTAGTGCTTGCGCGCCGCATGCCGTCCGAGTCGGGCAGCACGGAGTTTGCCATCATGCTGCACGACAATACCGAGCGGAACAAGCCGAGTGAAGACGGACCGGGCTATACGACGTTCGGACGCGTTGTGGAAGGCTGGCACACGGTTGAGTTCATATCGAAGAAGATGGCCCCGGGCTACATGATCAGGGAAGACCGTGGCCGCCAGATCGGGTTTGACAAGGTTGAGTTTGTCGAGCGGCTTACGAACGACGACGACGAGGCGAGGCTGCGGCTGGAGGAGCTGACGTACGTGCTCGAGACCCCTCACAGTGTAGTGATTATTGCCGAAAAGAACTGCCCTGAGAGGAAGGAGCTGCAGAAGATGCTGCAACGGTTTCGATCGACCGTGCGTGTCAAGGAGATTGGCGATGCGAGCCACGTTCCGTTCGAGCGGGAGGCGGTAGAGGCGTTGACGGGTCGTACGACACTGCCGCTTGTGTTCATCAAGGGCAAGTACATTGGCGGTTTGCGCGAAGTGCAGAAGCTGGAGCAAATGGGCACGCTTCGTGCAATGCTCGAGAAGACTGGCACGCTTGCTGAGGATACCGTGTGGTCATCAATCAATCAGAACGCCTTGGTGCTGTTTAGCAAGTCGTACTGTCCGTATTGCAAGAAGACCAAAGAGACGTTGGCAGCGTTTGGCGCGAAGCCGTTGGTGTTCGAGCTGGACAAGCGAGAAGATGGTGCGGCTATTCAGTCATTTCTGTTCCGCCTGACGCGTCAGTCCACTGTGCCGAACCTTTTTATCAAGGGCAAGAGCGTCGGAGGGAACGACAATGTGCAGGAGCTAAAGCGATCTGGCGAGTTGCTGGCTCGGCTCAAGGAAGCACGAGCTATTGACTAAGTGACGTGTCCCTGTTCCACCACGAACATGCAGTGAACAGTGAGAGTCCAACGCATCGAGCTCGTGAAGTGTCGATGAGTAGTCACGTTGGGTTACCAGGCAAAGGCGGCCGAGGTACCATGCAGTATACTCGTATGTGTAATGGTACAATTGGTCAGAGAAAGATGTTTGTGCTACATTTCGTCTTCAACGTACGTATTGGTTCCTGGGTCATTCTCTCTCCCGAGCTGTCCCGAAGCGGCTTTTTGTCTAGCAACCCGTCGGCAAAACGGTTCGTCAAGAAGTGCTCTGGAACGGGACAACGTTTGCTTTTCGAAACGGCGCGAGTGTGCGATGTACACCTTTTGTTTCTTTTGCCTGAGACTACGACAGTAGCGAGCACCTTTGTGTGCTGCAATCTCCAAGCAATAAGTTACTCCCGCAGTTGCATGTGTCTTTTGCTTCGAAGCGAGTTCGGGTCATTCGATAGACAGACTGACTGACCATTCACGATGACCCATCGATATCGACCACGCTCAAGAAGAGCGTTGATGTACGTCTTATAAATGATCCGAACCTCGTGCTGCGTGACGACAACATGCCGTATAAAGCGGTGCTTCGTGTTTTGACAGCAACTAAAGCTATAGGGTGAGCATTGCACTATTTCCCATAGCTCTCAAACTGCGGTTGCCATTCCGGCGTCTTCATGCGAGATCGAGTGTGAGCTTGGCGTCAGGGCACACGTAATGAGTTTTTCAGCACACGTCAGCCGATCCCAATGTAGATACATGTGGGCACGTGTCTATTATAAACACAGATGCGATCTCGATGACCTGCTATCTTGCCAGGGACTACTGGTAGGTCAACACTATCTGCACACGCCAATCAGCGCAATCTTTCCAGTTGGATCCCATGTAGATACGGATTGGCTGCAATGAAAAGCAACGTTTTCGCCGACTGTAGCAAGGCATGTCGAAGCGTGTGCACTGATTGTAGTGTAACTAGACACCTGGTAGTCACGGACACTATGCGTTCAAGTACGCAGGCCAATCCAATGAATGGGAATGAAGCAGCTGATTTTCGTATTGCTGGTGTGGTCATTACAATTTGGGACGAAAGTTTTCAGTAAACAGGTGCTTGATGTTAGCATGTGCTACAAACATTCACGAACCGCACATTGCTGTAGGGTCAATGACACACACAGGTGGTGGAAATTATCGAGGGAGTCAATGTAAACGTCAAAAGTTGTCTCGTACAAAACTCCACAATGTTACATTAGCTAAGTGATTTGACCTGGGTGAGTCAACCTTGATCGGCCCTACTGGAGGCCCTTTCGAGTCACAACAGATGCTTGTGGGACGTGCCTTCGTTCACTCGAGGCAGTGCCGGCCACACCATCACAACACGTGAGCGCCCGCTGAGCTTCTATCTTTACGCTTGCGTTTCTACATTTTTCTAGAGAAAAGGTGGTTGATTGTTGGAAGTGCAAGTCGCACTTGGGTCGACTCCAGAGATTCAACCTACACTAGGGCATATATGGAATGTTCTACAAGGTTCTATGTGTTGTTTTAGGCAGCACAAAGATATAGTTTGGGTAGTTCTCACTTGTATTTTGACAAGCCACTGACGAGGCCCCTGGCGGGGGGCCGAAACGCGTCTGGCGCGCGTTTTAATACAGGTCATTTCATTTACTTAATGTTCTCTTTCTAACAGGTTATGAGCCCAAGCGGCTTGGTTTGGTGCTGCGTTGTACACGGAATGTGCGCTGGGAGCGAGTTCGTCCATGAAGTCGCGATGGGACATGGTCCGACGATGGAGATCTACGTAAGCGCACGGTGGACAAGCAGTCGCTATTTGCGTTCACGAAAGGGACAACCAAGCTCTGCAACTGAAGGTGAAGGTTACGTGAAGTGAATTGATGGTGGTATCGAAGTGGTCAAGAGCAAAAGAAAAAAGAAAACAAGCTCGACGATGAATGAAGGATGTCAAGATGAGGCACGGTCCGGACAATGAGGGAGCCAGGATAACCTACCAAGCGATCAACAAGGAAGTTGGCCGAAGAGAAGGTGGAAAGCCCCATTGGAGCCTGCAAAGAAGAGAGGACGGTACGGACGATGAATGCTCAGGCGGTTTCATTTCATGTCGTCGAGGGGAAGTGTTGGAAGTGCAAGTTGCACTTGGGTCGACTCCAGAGATTCAACCTACACTAGGGCATATATGGAATGTTCTACAAGGTTCTATGTGTTGCATTAGGCAGCACAAAGATATAGTTTGGGTAGTTCTCACTTGTATTTTGACAAGCCACTGACGAGGCCCCTGGCGGGGGGCCGAAACGCGTCTGGCGCGCGTTTTAATACAGGTCATTTCATTTACTTAATGTTCTCTTTCTAACATTGATGGCCGAAGAAATTATGCGCAGAGTGTCTTCATTTGCTTACTAATTTGTATCTACAAAATGTTAAATTCTTAAGATCAGCAAGAATGTAAACTATTCAGATATCGATACACACTGGCATCATTGTAGTGTTCATGTGAAATAATTACAACACCGTCAAACTAACTTTTTGTCCTAAGAACTCATTGATGGGAGTTTGCAATGCTGCGCATGAACTTCCTCGTCCTTCTGACCATTGTACATCAGAGCTCCTCGTTTGATGCTAGCGCAGGATACTGAAATAATGACATCTTGTTGTCTAAATTCTGATAAGATTCAACAGTTTTCGATGTAAGTACGTATTTGATGGCGATCTGCGCGCTGCGATTTCACGAGAGAGGTAGGAGCAAAGAAGCGTACAGACACCTAGCATGATTGATTAAAACGCCTCGCGAGGTGGCCAATACCAGTTCGAGACGTATTGGGTAGATGCGTTGTTGCAATCGAGGCGAATAGTTGCGCAAAATGGACGCGATGTCCTCCATTGCTTTCATCAGTCTTCGGTTATTTCTTCGCGAAATGCGATAAAGGCACGTGCACATCCCTCGGCTAAGATAGACTCGGGCACAGTGGGAGTTTTCGGATAGGGTTAAGAAGAGCCCATTCAATAATGTGAATCATTCACTCTTGATGTCCTCACACCAGATGGTGAAAGTCGACACTTTTCCGCTTTCTTCCTGTATTAGGGATATCTTTACATCCATCTTTCAGTGTAGACACGTCATGCAAACAGTAGAGACGTTGACGCCGGTTGTAACAGGGCACTGGTGTAATGGGACACTGGTCGCTTCGTACAGGAACCACAGTACGTAGTCAACTCTCACTGACAACAGTGAAATTCAGTACCCTGCTAGGTATAAGCACCATACAGATGAAGGGTAACCATCTAAGGCAAAGACTCTAGTCGTAGCAAATTCAACTCTTTCATTTAATATTATTTGGTCCAATGTATCTTATTCTCTGATTTGTCACAACTTAATTGTATTACCACAATATAACATAAGATGATGTCTACTCACCACCCATTCCGCGCGTTTAGAAGCGATTAATGGGTTAATATAGTGGTTGTATCTACCAATGAGTAGAACCTTGGAACACTGCAACAACATCACTGAGTTCAGATGGACATTCGACTTAATATTATCGTTTCTCAAATTGTCACATATAACAATATTATGCAACAGGCTCAACCCGTTACATTGATACATAATGTTTCGTCTGCATGGCCTAAATCAAGCGTTCGAGCATAGCATTTATTGGAGTTTGCTTGTCCCAAACTGGTTAGACCTATGTTCCAAACAATGGTTTGGGAGAGCCGTTGTCCCAAGACCACTAGAACAGCGAGGTAGATCGATTACGGTAGTCTGCGTCCAATTGAAGCAGCATGAGGCCGAATACAATGTTGCTGGTCCGAATGGACGCAAACTACCATGATTGAGGTTGCTCGTTGTGCATCAGGAACTTCATTGCCATCTCGACACCTCATGTCTTTCGTTCCAGCAAGTCCAACATTAATTGTCACAGTCACTTCACATTGCCGGCAAGATCGCCCAATCTATACTTCAATCCTCATTGCTACTATAATTGGACCATAGAAGCAGACACGTTTTCTCCTATTTCGTTTTTCTGCTACAGATGCTCGAGCGTAAGGTCACATGGTGTTAGAGAATTACAAATGGTGTTCATTGCTTACTGAGTACTGTGACCAGCTGCTGTACGATACTTGCGAGGTCAATAAATCGCGTTTATATTGTTAGGTGGTTTCCACTGGAAATAGGCAGTTCCATCTATATCTCCAACGATATCAGGCAGTTTTTAAAGCTTCGGAATCATGGCAACTAAAGAGACTAACGTCTATATACCTATAGTAGCAACTAGTGGCAGAATGACCTTTTCAGCCAATGCAACCTGCGTGTAACATGATCGGAATAAGCCTCGGTCTTGCACCAGCAGGCAATAGCCGTGTGCAAGGCACATGCCTCAACCACTCATTAGCAGACACGGTTGCTTATGTGAAACGGCTTGACAATAGTTTCGTTCAAAGCCATTCTACTTTGTCTGTAACAAAGTCCATGGGCCAAACGATTTCTATAGTGGAGCAGAAAACCTCGATCTACGACAGACTGTGAGGTACTTGTAAAATTACCGCGCTTCCATCAAGTGAGCTGTAGCACAAGAGCAATTTGTGTCTACTTGCAGCTGCATGAGCCTCAACGGTCTCTATCGCGAGTCACCGGACAATGTCGTTAACAACAACACTGACGTATGTGTATGCAGAGAGAAGAGGGAAAAGAAAAAGCTAGAGGATCCAGAAGTCACCACAACACCGTCGTCGACTGTACTTTGTTCGGTGCCTGCACGTCCGAGAACACTTGGGCCAAGTTTCGTGTATGAATACTTCACGATATATCTAACTTGGTTCTTTCTATAGGATTGGGCTGCACTACGTACGTTGTGTGAAGTTCCACCTCGAGAAGAATTTCACCTTTACGGTAAGAAGGTCTATTAGTGAGCGGTGCATTATTTCTGGATAAATAAGCGTCACACATCGCATGTGGGTTCATGAATCTCTATCGGCGAGTTGTAC